CAATTGTTAAGTGAGTCACACCCAATTTTCAGACTTTTCTGCCATGTTTGTTAAGCAAAACATTGCCATCGTTAAGTGAATCACATGGTTGTTAAGCGAATGACACAGTTGTTAAGTGAATCCAGCTTCCCCCATTTTTTTTTTTTTAATTTGATTTATATGCCACCCTTCTCTGGAGACTCAGGGTGGCTTACCTGCGTTAAGCAATAGCCTTCATACTTTTGTATATTTTATACAAAGTCAGTTTATTGCCCCCACAATCTGGGTCCTCATTTTACCTATCTTAGAAAGGATGGAAGGCTGAGTCAACCTTGAGCCTGGTGAGATTGTGTTGACTTTGCTTATCAGAAGACAGTTCTTTGGAAAGTCCCAAATGGTGATCCCATGAACCAGGATATGCAGGTAAATACATGGGTAAAATTCACACATACATGCCAGTGGCCAAGCGCCCAAGTTTTGGTCATGTGATTGTGGAGCTACTGTGAAGATTATAAGTACAAGGACTGGTCAGAAATCCTTTTTTTTCAGTGCCATTGTAACTTTGAAAGGTCATTAAATAAATGGATGTAAATCAATGACTACTTGTAATGTCACTGCTCTATTAGCTGCCTAACTAATAGCTGATTGGCACTCCGGGTATTCCTTTGTGGCCTGTTTTGGTTTTTAATTCATTAACCTGGCCATTTATCCTCCACAAATGGGACAGGTCTAGTCTAGAGGGAATATGAAATATAATGAAATAAATCAATACGCTGCCAGAATGTGCTTCCAAATGGCTAAACATGGTGCAGATTCAAGATAAAATGCAGGCCAGTGTTTCGCAACCTTTCCAGTGGGTGGACTTCAACTCCCAGAATCCCTCAGCCAGCTAGATGTGGAATTCAGGTCATAAGCATGGGAATTACAGCCAATTAGTTCAATTGCCTTATTGTGACCTCACCAGAATTGCTGGCTTAAAAATTGCTGAGATTGAGAAACACTGATTGTAGACAGTTCAAAGGGGGGAAACCAGGGGTGGGTTCTAAATTTTTTTACTACCAGTTCTGTGGGCGTGGCTTATTTTGTGGGCATGGCTTGGTGGCGGGTAATGTGACTGGATGGGCGTGGCCAACTTCTTTTTTTTTTACTTTTAAAAGCATTTTTTCTACAACCTTAAGAGGTTGCAGAAAAAAATGCTTTTAGAAGCCTCTGATGATCAGGCAACTCAGCTGGGATTGCCAGAGGCTTTTAAAGGCATTTTTTTCCCTACAACCTCTTTGACTGAAGAGGTTGTAGAAAAAATGCTTTTAAAAGTATAAAAAAAAAGCCTCTGATGAGGTGGGTGGGGTAATCGAGCGGCGACTGGGCTGGGGACCGGTTTGGGGGCGTGGCCAGCCAATGTTATTACCTGTTCTCCGAACTACTACAAATTTTTACTACCGGTTCTTGTGAACCGGTGCAAACCAGGAGCAACCCACCACTGGGGGAAACCCACTTATGCCATTTTTTTAAAATTTGATTTATATTTATGATTTATATTTAATTTGATTTGCTTATCTCATCTCTGCCCCTTGCAACATCAGCACAAGTTCATGCTAACTCCGGTTCCAGTGGAATGCATTGCTCTTCTGTTGAGAAGAAAACTGAAAATCAGTAAGTTTTCATCACAGAGTAGAACGCAGCAAAACTCAATCACAGGATACCAGTGACATTACATATAAACACCCAGCAATTCATGTCTATGATGTGCAATGTGGGGTTTCACTTTCATGGCATCCACATTTCTCTATTGCTCATGAGAAGAATTTTGATGAGGCCACAATAAGGCCACTTAATTAATTGGCTGTAATTCATACACTTAAGGCCCGGATTCCAGATATAAAGTCCCAGATATTATACCCTGTTTCCTGAAAATAAGACATCCCCTGATAATAAGCCCAATCGGGCTTTTGAGCGCAGGCACTAAAATAAGCCCCCCTGAAAAATAAGCCCTCCCCGAAAATATTTAAACACATGTGGAGCCGATCCCCGCCATTTCCTCTGGTTTCCTTCAAGTGTCCCAAAATAATAAGACCTCCCCATAATAAGGCCAAGCACTTATTTCGGGGTTCAAAAAAATATAAGACAGGGTCTTATTTTCAGGGAAACGTGGTAATTCCATCCCCACCCCCCACCCTGTCTTCAAGAACTGGGAAATGCTACCCAACTCTGTTTTATCCAATCCAGTACTTTGCATGAATCAAGCCACAATGTTCTTCTGTCTACCCTAATGCCATAAGGGACATCATACCTGTCTCTCCATTGTTTGTTCTGTCAATTGACCAAGGGTTCAAGACACCAGACTAGAACCCAGAGACTGCGAGTTCTAATCCCGCATTAGGCATGAAAGCTGGTTGGGTGACTTTGGACCAATCACCAGGCAATGGTGAAGTTGTAGTCCTGCCTTAGATATGAAAGCTGGTTGCGTGACTTGGGGTCAATTACCAGGCAATGGTGAGTTGTAGTCCTGCCTTAGATATGAAAGCTGGTTGGATGACTTTGGACCAATCACCAGGTGACTGTGAGTTGTAGTCCTGCCTTAGATATGAAAGCTGGTTGGATGACTTTGGACCAATCACCAGGCGATGGTGAGTTGTAGTCCTGCCTCAGATATGAAAGTGGTTGGGTGACTTTGGACCAATCACCAGGCAATGGTGAGTTGTAGTTCTGCCTCAGATATGAAAGCTGGTTGGGTGACTTTGGACCAATCACTAGGCAATGGTGAGTTTTAATCCTGCCTCAGATATGAAAGCTGGTTGGGTGACTTGAGGTCAATCACCAGGCGACTGTGAGTTGTAGTCCTGCCTTAGATATGAAAGCCAGCTTTGGGACTTTGGGTCAGTCACTTTTTCTTAGCCCACCCAACCCCACAGGGTTCTTCTTGTGGGAAAAATAGGAGGCAGAAGAAGTATTGTGTGTGTTCGCCACCTTGAATTGCTTATAAAAATAATAAAGGGGGTATATAAATAAAAATAAAATATACAAAGACAACACGGCTCTGAAAATCAAATGCTGAAGACACGGAGGGGGGGGGAAAGGCAGAGTCTTTATTACTTGGCTTGTGAGCTTCTTAAAGCATCTGGCTGCTGACCACCATGGTGGTGTTTAAAACAGGACGGCTGAAACATTTATATAAAACGTTAGAAAAAGCAAAGACCCGTAACACTTCTATTAGGCCAACTCAGAATACAGACAGAGTGCAAACAACTGAATTCTCCAGAATTCTTCATTGGGAAAGATGGTAAACAAAGGCAAAAAACAAGAAGGGAGAAGGAAAAAAGTGACTAATGCTAAAGCCATGGGATCTGCTCTTAATTATGGTCTTGACGAATGTGGGAGTAGGCCTCAGACTTTTAAAGTAAGGTGCATAGGGATTATCAGGAATCTTCCAAAGGCTGCCAACATGAAGACACCAACAACGGTTGACATTAGCTATGTAGACATATAACAGCTATGTGAAGGGGCTGTTGTGGCTTATGGGCCATCCAATGAAGCAAATACCAGAAGGAATTATCTCAGAGTAACAGAGTTGGAAGGGATCTTGGAGGTCTTCTAGTCCAATCCCATGCTCAGGCAGGAAACCCAGTACCATTTCAGAGAAATGCTTGTCCAGTCTCTTCTTAAAAACTTCCAGTGTTGGAGCATGTTGGAGCACTAGCACTAGCCCTGATAATGTTGCCTAGTTGGGTAATGAAACGTCTGCAAGAAAACAGGCAAGCCCAGAGAGCACCAAGGACTCATCATGTCAACCCTGAGCTACAAAAATATTCTCCTTTATTAGCAATGGGTTTGTTTAATGATCACCACGAAAAGGACCATAAAATTGGATCAGTCACAGGATGACCTGCTTTACGAATGTCATGATTTATGACCAGAATAAACTGGCGTTAATTATGATAAGTCAAGGAACAGCTGTATGCTTTCAATTTAGGTTGTCGGGTTTCGCTTTGCTTTTTGTCTTTCTTGTTGTGCCACCTTTGGAATGAAGAGCTGGTATATAACATAAATAAATAAACAATTGAGAAAAATGTGATTGTGAAGCTCCTTCCATGATCCTCCTGCTTCCCTCCAAACATATCATGCAGGAAGCTCTCTAATGTAGCTTTGGTGTTTCTTTGCTGGCCTTTTCAAGCTCCGGTTAGTGTAATGTAGAGATGAAATTGGTTTGGAAAAGGGAAGGCCATCACGGTGGGGGGCAATCAGGCAAAAGAGATAGGACTCCAATAGTGTAATTGAAACCTTTCCTTTCCCTTTCCCTTTCCCTTTCCTTTTCTTCTCCTCTCCTCTTCTCTCTCCTCCTTCTCCCCTTTATCCTTTATCCTTTCTCTCCCCTTCCCTTCCCCTTCTTTAGGGAACCAATTTGGTGTAATGCAGTGTTTTTTTCAAACTTGGAGATGTCTGGACTTCAACTCCCAGGATTGAAGACACTGGTCTAATGGTTAAAGTTGTGAACTAGGAGCCAGGAGAAACCTGAGTTCCAACCCTGCCTACGGCATGGAGTGCAATTGTGTGTCTTTGGGCCAGCCATTCTTTCTCAACCCTAAGAAGGCGGCAAGGGCAAGTCACTTATTGAAAACGTTGCCAACAAAACTGCAGGACTTGTCCAGATAGTTGCCAGGAGTCAAGACTGACTGGAAGGCAAGTGTCTTATAAAACTATTTCCAGATGTATCCTTTAGCGGCCGTGTGTTTACCGTTTTAAAAAGGCAGGACATGGAAATTAGGGAGAATCCTAGGGATTGCAAAAAATAAAATAAAAGGAGTTTTGCTGATGGCCTTGAAATATAAGGATGTCAAGTTGCCTGTCATATGTAAAATGTGTCATTCATTCTTTTAGTAGAGACTTTTCTGTAGGCAGGAATCCAGATTGGAGTCATCTCTGCAGGAACATCTCTATTTTTTTTTTTAAAAAAATTTTTTTTATTGAAAATTATTAAAAATTACAGAAAAAAAATATAACAATATGAATAGAATTGCAGAGAGTAATATAATACATATAGAGTTTTAAGGTATCAGTTTTCGCCTAGAAATAGTACAAACCTCCATTAAACCAAATCATCAAAAAAAGAAAAGATTATCCAGAAGAAAGAATTCTCAACTGCCATGCAATATTCCTATAAATATTCACCCCCAGTCACACTAAGATTATTATTTTACATTCTTCTTCAGATTTCTTTTTTGCAGCCAAGCATACCACCGGTCCCAACTAATATATAGCTCCGATTCTTGTCTATCTCGCAAGAGTCCGGTAAGCTTGTCTGCCTCTGCACAATCCATGATCTTTGCGGTTAACATAGCCTCCGATGGAATATTTTTGGATTTCCATTCTTGCACAAACGAGATCCTGGCTGCAATGATGATGTGGAGAGCGAGATACCAATTAGATTTGTTTAAGTTCTCTGGTTTCATGCCTAGTAAAAACGTTTCCGGGTTCAATTTTATCTTACATCCTATGATTTCTAAAATCCATTTTTGAATTCTGGCCCAATATTCTCTTACTCGGGGACAGGTCCACCAGATATGAAAATAAGTTCCCATAGGGGCATTGCATTTCTAACAAACCGGGGACGTTCCCGGGAACATCTTTGATAATCTAGCTGGAGGGAGGTGCCATCTATACAGCATTTTATATGTATTTTCCTTATAGGAAACCGACAGAACCGGCAGAAACATCTCTAGATGTCCCCAGGTTAGTCAATCGCAACTCAACCTAGCTTACAGGGTTCCTGTTGATGACGACAATAATGAGAAGCATACCACTGGATACCATGCCTGCTACCTGCTCTGTGCATCCAACAGAAAGGCAAGAGATAGATAAGATATATATATATATAGCAAACACGAAAATAATGTTATTTTGAGTTGATGGGGAAGGGACTTTTTTTTTTTGCACCGGAAAGACTTTGCTTCTGACATTTAGTAGCTGCAGCTTTTGCAGAGGAGCTAAAACCGTGTTTTGCAATAGTGGCAAACATCTGTAGCTCGGGTGTAAGATGAGGGTAAAGGTTCGTTCTCCGAACTTGTGGGTTGGTTTAACGAATGTTTCATTATCAGGCTAAGCAACATCTTCAGCGGATCCCCTAAAACAGGGGTCTCCAAACCTTGGTAACTTTAAGCCTGGCGGACTTCAACTCCCAGAATCCCCCAGCCAGCAAAGCTGGCTGGGGAATTCTGGGAGTTGAAGTCCGCCAGGCTTAAAGTTACCAAGGTTGGAGACCCCTGCCCTAAAACTCCTCTGAAGATGTTACCTAGCCAGGTAATGAAACGTTCGTTAAACCAACCCACAAGTTCGGAGAACGAACCTTCACTACTACCCCCCACCCCCCAAATCATGTTTGCTTGAGAGAGGAGAGGGGATTTTTTTTTTCCCACCAGCATCCATCGCAAGCAATTACACAAGTGTGAAATTATCAAGGCATGACTCACCACGCTTTGTGTACTAGGTAACCAGGCGTCTCCGCCTGAAGGCAATCCGTGCTCGCCAGTGAACTCTTCTTCCACGCCAGCCTGACATCACCGTGGTGCAAGTTCACTCCCGCGGGCGGCGGCGGAGGAGTTGACCGTTGCCATGGAGACAATGTTTTCGCGGAGTCAGGAGCCGCGGGGATTTGCAACGTGGAGTTCGGGAAAAACAGCGGACGGGCAACGTGGAGGAATCTCGCGGAAGCTTCGGAAAACCCCACATCTGCGCTAGGCGCTGCGCACACAAACACACACACACACACACACACACACACACACACACGCATCGTTCCGGGACGGAGGGAGGGGGGTGAGACCCCGTTCGTTTAGGGAAGGGGAGAAAAAGGAGACCCCCCCCCCAATCCCTTCCCTGGAGGGCGGAAGGGAGGAGCATCTTGGAAAGATGGCTTGGCTAGGTGGCTCAGTGGCTAAGACGCTGAGCTCGTCGATCAGAAAGGTCGGCGGTTCGAATCCCGAGTATAGGTCTCCTGCGTGAGCAGGGGGTTGGGCTAGATGTCCTCCAAGGTCCCTTCCAACTCTTGTTACTGAAATGCGGGCGAGAGAGAATGCAGACATAGCCTTTGACACAGGGGGGGGGCTTTAGAAGCAAACAAGAGGAGCAATTCTGTTAGTGGCCAATACAGGCTCACCCCACTAATATAGAGATGGATGTGTGTGTGGGGGGGAGGGGGAAGGAAACACGTGTCGTGTCCAATGCTCTGATCGAAATGGGAACGCGCAGGAGCCCCCTTCCCCCTCAGCCTTGGGAAGTGATACGATCCCGTTATTTCACCCTGCTGCTTATGCACCTTGGACTGTGGGAGACGGAGAGTCAACAGAGCCTTGAAAATCGGTGGCAGCATTTTTTTCCCCGCCTCGGCAAGAGGGGTTCGGCTAGATGCCCTTTCAGGTAACCTCTGATCCCGGTGCGGCTATGGTTCAAGTCGGAGAAGTCCCAGGACTAGCTCTCCCCCCCCCCCCCCACACGACTATCTCTGGTTTGAAAATATAACCACCTGCTTGCTTCAGGACAAAACTAAAGCCTTGCCGTCTCCCCGTTTCCAAAAGTCCTCAAGCTTGAACTGGGGTGAAAAAAACGAGAGGAGATAACGGAATATCCCCATTTTAGCTCCCAGGCACAGATTTCGGCTCTGGATTGAGCTCTGCGGAGATTTTAGTTTTACAGATAGGCTTTCCCCGCTCCAATCACTTCTTTCCTCTCTTCCAACTCCCCCCACCCTCACCCCGCGTGTCAGATTTTGACGGACTCCCCCTTTCAGTCCGCACCCCTTTGGCGCGCTGCTAAAATCGTTTCTGGATCTGAAATTTGAATTTGTAGACTGGATCTTGCGGGGGCCAAGAATTAATAGCGGTCGTGGCGTGGCATCCCGCGTAGGGAGCCTCCGAGGAGCTCAACCGCCGCCGCAGCAGCAGCAACTTCGAGGAGCTGGAAGCGAGGAGGGGACTATTCACTGTCCCTCCTCCTCCTCCTCCTTTCCCCCCCCCCAAGTTCGCCTCCCTTCGCATCCTGATACGACCGTGACATCTCCATCGAATCACAATCACCTCCCCGTTGTTTTGTTTATATGCCGCCTCGCTAATTTTCGTTTTCTCCAATTGTTTTGGAGCCTGGGAAAAAAACCAAAACAAAACTTTCCTTTTTTTTTTTTTTTTTTTTCAAGCGTTTGCAAATCCAGTAAAAAAAAAAAAAATCCAGCCCCATAATTAACATTCCGTTGTTCTGACCCATAGCTGAGAAATACCTCGGCGGACAAGAGGGGCGGTAAGGATATCTGGCTTATAGGAAAGAAGCGAAGGACAAGCCCCTTCCAAGAGACCCATTGGCCGGGATTCCTCTCCCCACTGGATCATCGCTTGCCCACCCCCCACCCCCCAGCAGCTTCATTTCAGCAGCCCGATCCAGCCGTTTGGAGCCCCCTCGAGCCCCATCTGAAGCGCGGAGGGCTTTTCTTCCCCCTTGAGAGTAAAAGCAGGCGGGCGGGCGAAGGGTTAGATAAATATTATCTAACTGTTAGTTGTTCATGTTCTCTCATTCCTCGTTGCAATAGGACCTGGTTGTGGGAGGTGGGGGCAGGTTGCTCTTTGCCCTGCCTCGCAGCCGGGACCTTCCAGGATTTTAGCTGAGCTTCATACATCCGTTCTTAAATCCCACGAGTGGCCGAGTTCAGACGTTACGTTGAGCCGTCATCCCCGCTCTGGTCCATCGAAGCCGATCCCGTTTACCCAATGCCCTAAAGCAGGGGTGTCCAACCTTGGCAACTTTAAGCCTGGAGGACTTCAACTCCCAGAATTCCCCAGCCAGCTTTGCTGGCTGGGGAATTCTGGGAGTTGAAGTCCTCCAGGCTTAAAGTTGCCAAGGTTGGATACCCCTGCCCTAAAGTTCATCAACAAACCATAATGGTGGTTTAGGGCGACGTGTGAACTTTACCAAACGCCCGGCAAATGCCCGGTCTCTAAGCAAAAGAGAATCCGGGGAAATTTCTCCTTTATTCAGGATTCTTTTTTGGACTGTTTCGGGAAGAGATGGAACCAGCAAACCGGCTTGAGTTCAGACTTTTTCCCTCAGCCTTGGAAAGTGATACGATCCCGTTATTTCATCTTGCTGCTTATGCAGTCACGGGAAAAAACACACTTCACATGCCCAGAGGCACCAGCCTTTTCCAAACGGCCAATGGAGCCGTGTGTGTGTGTGTGTGTGTGTGTGTGTGTGTGTGTGTGTGTGTGTGTGTGTCGGCAAGCAAAGAGGTTTATGAGGTGGAAGGGTGCTTGCAGGCAATTTCTCCCACCCCCACCCCCATTTGCTTGCTGTCCGAAGCATTTGACGGCCATATGTGGGTACCAATAAACAAGAATATTTGTAGTTCGTTGTTGACATTTGCAGCTCATTTCAATTCCTACAAATAGCCCAGTCCTACAAATAGCCTCCTTTATTGGTAAAAAGAGGTCGCGGTTTGGCAAATCCAGATTAACTACAACTCCGCGTCCACAAGCTTTCTGCCTTTTTGCTCCGGATTAGCCTCCTCAGGGACTGCTGGGCTCCCTCTAATAACACGGGAGGCGACGCGCCAAAGGCAATAACCGCCGTGATGTATCGGGGGGACCCCTCAGTTACGTCTCTTGGGGTCCCAAATCGTCACCTTTTGTCTCCCCGAACGTCAAAATGAAGGTTAAGGCGGTTGCCGGGGAGATCAGAGGGATAATGGGTATAAATGTCCCCGCCGCGCCGGCTTGAGGCATCCGATGCTTTTGAGGCGAGTGGGAGAGGTGTTGCTTCGCACAAGCTCGGAGAAACTTTTTGCCTTTCGTTTGGGTGTCTTGTCTTAACGACATGGAAAACTCGCGCCAAAGACCATCTAAGGGCCCAGGCAACCTGGGCAGCGAGCGTTTCCGTCGTGTGAAGAACGCCAGACCCGCGCAGCTCGAGCCTTTGGCTCTCCCGCCGGGAAACAGTCCGGCTAAGCCGGCCGTTAGCTCTCCGCGCCCCGAAGATCAGCGGCCGCGGCAACCAGAGCGCCTTCCTCCGCTCCGGACTCGCTCTGGCGGCTCTCCTTTTATAGGGGAGCTAAATTTAGGCCCGCTCGGCCAGGCAGGAACGATAACTGTACGTCCCCCGAGCGGCCCCCCCCCCCGATCCGGAGACGCATTTCCTCCGTTAGCGCCATTGGCCTGCGCTCTTGCTCGGCGCGTCTTAAAAGCTCTCCGCCGCCGGCCAGGCCTTCCACAGCGCTGCAGAGAAGAGATCGGGGCAACCCCGAGGCAGACATGGCGTTGCCGGCCTCCAGCTTGCCTTCGTTCGCCTCTTTCCGCAAGGACAGCCGCCCGGCTTCCCAAGTGAGTGTCCCGGAGACGGTGGGGAGGGGGAAAAATGGCGCTCTCTGCACATGCTCAGAGGCACGCTTGCTTGCCACCCCCCCCCCGGGGACGGGAAACGGGCCGGCGTGGAAGCTTCGACCCTGGTGTCCCCCGATCAAACCTTGAGAAGTGGCCCCGTTGAACTCGGAGGGACTCCCTTCGCCGGTCGCTCTCGCTGGAGCGCCGGCTCTTTGCCCGGGGGATTCGTGGGAAGGCGCCCTCTGTTCTCCGTCTCTCTTTTGTGAGGCTACCTGGAAACACATCCAGGGGTGTTGGGGGGGGTGGAGGATCCCGACCCCTCCCCGGGCCAGGCCAAGGTCTCAGGTCAATCAAAGCGGGTGTGGGACGAAGATGCTTCCGCACGCAGAGGGGTCTGTCTGCCCCGCGAGGTGCAGCGGAGGGCGGGCGAGCAGGGTCCCGCCGGCCGGGTCAGCGCCTACTAACGCGCCCGCTTCTGCTCTCCTCTCCAGCAATGGTCCTGCGGCTTGGAAGCTGCGATGCCGCTCAGCCACTGCCCTTTGCCGGACCTGAGGTCGAGGATGGAGGGTGTCGCCCCGATCAGGGACGAAGAGCTGAGCACCGTCTTGGATCTGGTCCTCTCCATGGGCAGCAGCGACAACAGCCTCCTCTCGGACATGCCTCGGGGAGATTACGCCAGACCGGACGATTATTTCGGCATCAGTTCGGCGGCTGGATACTACAGTCCGTTAGACACTCGCACGCCGACTCCCTACAGCCCCGTTTTCCCTTCCGAATCGGAACCCTCCGACCTGGAAGGAGGGAATTACGCCCACGGGCGTTTCTTCGTGGACTTTGGTCCCTTCGTGGACAATGTTAAACCGGAGCCCGAAGTGGACGCTTACGAGCCTCTGCCAGGCCTGGGCTCCCAGGTTTGCCCCAACATCAAGCGGGAGAACACGCCAGCCCCCTGTATGCTGTCTGGCTCTCCCCAGCTGCCTTGTGCAGAGACCCCCCCCATGAGCCCTGACGACCTGCTGATGGCCACCAAGCGCCACGGACAGCTGATGCCTCTCTCCCAGCAGGGCTACCACCCAGCCTTTCCACAGCCTCAGTACCCCCAGAGACCCTCCCCTTATGGACTCTTTGACGAGAGCCTCCCCTGTCAGGCCTCGGCCTCCAGGGCCCTTCTCACTCCACCTGCCTCACCCCTGGAAATGCTGGAAACCAAAACCAAGAGGGGACGCCGCTCTTCGTCCCGCAAACGGAGCGCCACGCACACTTGCACTTACGCTGGCTGTGGAAAAACCTACACCAAGAGCTCCCACCTGAAGGCACATCTTCGAACTCACACAGGTAAGCATCGTTTTATTGCCTCATGGGAGGAAAGAAGGGAAGGCGGATTTGAACCGAAGGGAGTAAGTAGTAGTTTGGCCACACATTGTTCCATGAAGCTGGTAGGTTTAGCGGAAGCTGCAGCTCACTTTTCAAGTGGGAAGTTTCAGAGGAGCCCCTGCTAAACACACTTTCCCCTCCCACCCCATCTCCTCCTGAGGTTTGCACACAATTCTGGAGAGGTGGGGAGGTGGACACCAAGGGAGGCATAGTTATGCTGGTACAGCTGAGGTCATAATGGGTATTTCACTTGCCCTATGGGAGGACAGGGCAGGAGAGAGCACATCACAATAGACAGGTGTGAAGTATATAGCTGTCAGAAAGCCACAGGGACTTTTGACTTTTACAGAAAGGATGCTTTGACAGCCTTTCCTACTTAGGATAAAGAGCAAGGTAGATACATTTGTAAGGCATATAAGTTTAATAAAGTAAAAAGAGAGATCCGTTCAGAAGGAGCACTGGTGGTCGCTTTTGGCCTGGCACATATCAATATTTTTTTTTTCTCTTCTCCCCAAACAGGTGAGAAACCCTACCACTGCAACTGGGAAGGGTGCGGATGGAAGTTTGCTCGCTCAGATGAACTGACCCGCCATTATCGGAAACATACTGGGCATCGTCCATTTGAGTGCCATCTGTGTGACCGGACCTTCTCCCGTTCTGACCATCTGGCATTGCACATGAAGAGACACATGTAGCTTTCTCACGCCTGTGATGTGACCTGAAGAACTCTGGGGATGGGGGGGAAATCTTGTAGCTGGTACTACTATGTCTGTCTACACAGAGAAAAGACTTGGAGTGAACCCTGACCCGAGGAAGCCCAGCCGTTCCAGTGCTTCCTGAAGAGGCCAAGAACCTGACTGACTGTTCTTTTGTCATGGAAGAACGGGACTTATTTATAGGATGGAGAAGAGACCAAACTGGGTGACTGCAGCCCTGAGATCCGAAGGCAACTATAGCACTTGGAAGAACTGCAATGTCTGCCATGAATAACATGTGGACGAGTACATATTCAGCCTCACAAGCAAATTTAGATTAGTTAACCCAATAATTTTTACAATTTGCTATTTATGGCTGTGAAATCTGGACTCCCCAAAAAAAAAAAAGGCAGATAAAAGTATGGACGTTTTTAAACTGTGGTGCTGGAGGTGACTATTATGCATCCCATGCGCACAAAAATACCAAAAAACAAAAAACAAACAAACCCAAAGTCCTTGACCGACCCTCACCAAAAATATTACTTGAAGCCAAAATCGAGGTTGTCATACTTTGGTCATCAGAGCTGACTCACTCGAAAAGTCAATTGCGCTGAGAGTGATTGGCAAAAAAAAAAAAGGAGGAGGCTGCCCCAGCACCTGCTGGCTGGCTACTATAAAAGATGACTGAGATGGCCGTGGCAGACCTGAAGAATGCAGTGCAAAACAAAGTGATCCACAGATCACTTCTGGCCGAGGGTCGAAAACAACTGAATGGCTGATGACAGAGAAGAGACAAAGGGGTGGCTATATGTAAATAACTGACCATGCCCCAAACATAAGCTGTATTTGAGGACTGTAAGAGGTTTACTGCAACCTAAAAAAAAACTTATTTTCTGAGACAGGAGGTTCTCACTGAGAACATGCCAAATCTATGCCGTACACTCAAAAGTGTGCACTCAAGGTGCCTTAAACTATACTAGAACTACTGGGTTACAGGTCCTGTAAATAAACTTGTCTTTGGACCGGAATTGTATAAATATTGTAAATAGTTCTATACTGAAGTTGACTATAAACAGGAGATAAAATAGGTTTTATTTCCCCTCTGCCTATTCTTTTGTTTTAAATAAATGTTTTCTGAAAAGTTGTTAAAAAAAAAAGACCTTTTCTAAAATAAAGCATTTGCATTTATGTGTCTTTCGCCCTTATTTAAAAGCCATTTGCTGAGAGTCAAGTGACAGGGTGAACCAGACTAGCCTTAAAGCTGCTTTGTGGTTCTACCAATGTCTCAGCTGCACCATAGGACAGAGCTCAGTAGCAAAACTCTCGAGTTCAAAAGCGATCAAGGCTATAATTTGAGTCTCATTTTTAGTTTACTTGATAGCTATTTTGGTAGCACCCTCAAATCTCTTCCAGATGTAGATACAACTGTGCCAGCAGTAAACCTGTGGGCGGTTTTGCTTGTTGGGGTTTTCGTTTTTTTGTTTTTAAACTTTGGAAGGTAAACACTGCTTTTCAGTAATTATGGATTTTTAATGCACGATCTTTTCACTGTATTTGCCCTCAAATGCTGGGTGGCAGGATAAATTTGTGGAGAAGGCTTCTTCATAAGTAGGTTGTAAAGATAGACCTTTAAAACAAGCCCCAATTCTTAGAGCTCATGGGTTTTAATCTGTTTCTTAACTGGATGTTAGTTACCCAAAGTTGCATAGCAAGTGGATGGCCACACAAATCAAACTGAATAAATAAGGTACTAAAACCATTTATACAATGCTTCAAGTCCTAGTATTAGAAGAAAGTGGAATCTTTATGAACTTTTCTCATAATTCTATAAGCCTTCAATTTGCCCTCCTTTTCTCCATATTTTTCCCCTAAAACAAAACCATTGCAGACACAGATTTCTGGTCATATTTCTAGCTGTTTTTTCTGAGCTCCATCGCCATTATGCTTGTTGAGATGGAATGTCCCAACATGCATAAGATTACACAAATCCATCATCTATCTCAACATAGGAAACAGTTAAAAGAGGTAAAATCGGACTACTAGATCTGGGCTGCAAAAACCCAGATGACTACAAGGTGGCAGCAAAAAGAGGCTCTGTAGCTCTCTGCTACCATCTGGTGTTATTCCAGCTTTTTGCTGTCTAGATTTGGCAGCTTTAGGTAAAATAATTTCAGGATCCAAAAGAATGGGGTTCGACCAACTTATTGATTCTTTGCTGCCCTGGTGAGTTGGATATGTTGTCCTGTCAAAGCCAGGTTGTAATGCTGGGCTGGGAATGTTAGGAGTTACAGGTCAATTAAAGGACGCCAGGTTGGGAAAGGTCTAGTCCACTGTATATGAAACTCCTCACTACTATGCCTGAAGATTTTCCTGATATCCCACTCAGTGGTTCTACAGCCAAACTAAAGATTATACTGAGTAGAATTAGATCCTATCAACAGATTTAGTCATGTCTCCTATTCCATCCCATGGCCAATCAGAACAGAGCAGGGTCATAAGAACAACTTCCGGCTGCTATTTACTACCCAAACGTTTAAATTCAGCAACATGGTCTTCTCTGATCCCAGGGATAAGGCATCCTGACTGGTTGAATATCTGTTGAATTTCTCTTTTAGGCTACTTGAATCCGTGGCCAAGTAGACTATAATTTCCCAATCCAGGGTTTCAAACCTGAGAGGGGGAAAATAGCTCTTTACCCATTTTATCTACACTGCACATAATTTTATAAATTCCTTCTTCACCCCCCACCTTTTTTTTTTTTTAAAAAAAACCAAAACGCTCCAAATTACATCATATTTTCTCATAAGGAAACTGCAATATCCCTGAACATTTTGATTGCCACTTTTTGCTATTTCTGCAATCTCCTCGAGAGGATGTTTCTACACAATATTCCAAGTATGTTTGTACTACAATGCCGTATTGGCAATTCTAGTTCCATAATTACACCAATGCGAAATTTGCCTCCCCCCCCACCTCACAGCTACTGCATTTGGGTTGACATTTCCACTGAACGTTCCACCATAACCGCAAAAATCTTTCTTGGTTTAGTCATTCCTAGGTCAGATCTCCTTAATTAACGTCCCCAATACTTAAATGGTTAACTGGTAAAGATAGAAAAGGAAAACAAGTTTAAAATTTGCATGGAGGGATGGGCTGTTGTACACAACATTACTAAAATTAGCACTTCAATTACACACTTGCAGAAAATGACTGGGAAGTTATTTAAAGTAGCTGCAGAAATAACCCCTCTGCTCTCAACAATGAAATCCTGTCATTTCTTTAAAGTGGCAAAACAAAAGTAGATTTCCCTCTTGAAAATACTACCTAGAGAAGAGATTTTGCTGGTTTTTGATGGTGGGCGGGAGGCCCTGTGTTTTCACTGCAGAAAGAAAGCATTGCACAATCCCTTCCAGAAAGTATGAAAGATATGCTAAAATGATCATTCCGATTACTGCAATTGTTTCAGCTCCTCCTCCTCTTTCACCAACTACAGGGCACAAAGACATCAAACGCAGCTTGGGGTTTATGTAGTGGTGTAATATACAGAGAGTGTTACAAGAGCAATATTTGTGCCTTGAAAAAATTACACTTCTTCTTTCAAGCGGCTTGTTTGACCACAAGTCCCTTTCTCACAAGTTGGAAAGCTCACTCCAAACTTTGCAGCCCCAGAGATCAACCTATATCCCAGTTTGATTAGATCAAATATGTTTGAGGAGGTGATTCACACAAGCCAGTCAACTCCTTATCTGTGTTTGAACTTTGCTGTAAATCAAGAAAGATTAATTAAAAGCATATTAGCCACCAGGAACTTTAAAATGTTTCAAATCTCATGGAGAGAATTCATATTCTTTGGAGTTGATTTGCAATATTTCTTCTGACTCCCCATTTCAATGATTTAAAGTAGAGTTTTTCAATTTCAACTATTTTAAGATTGTGGACTTCAACTCTCAGGATTCCCCAGTCCACAATTTCTTAAAATTGCTGAGGTTGAAAGACACTGGTTTAAAACATTTTAAAGAGTTTGTTAGACAAAGTGGGCAAACTTTGGGGCACATTTAATTTTGGGGAATAAGATTATGATGCAAGGTGGTGACTCTCCTCACCAATGTAAACAGTGCCAGAGTTTTGAGATTACTTTTTTAGGATTGGTTAGCTGGGGAATTCTGGGACTTGAAGTCCACAGATCTTAAAGTTACCAAAGTTCGACATCCCTGTGCTACAGTGTAAGTACAGTATAGTGTAAGTTTTTCTGTGCTCTCTGAACACTGCAAGGCATATTATCTTGCTATCAGCGGAAGAATACTCATTGTATTTCACATTTTGGAAAAAGGTATTTAAAAGTCAAAACTGGAATGTTAGACCAATCAGAGATTATCCATCTATATTCAAAGCTAATTGGTAATTTCCCATTGATCTTGGAAAATTTCATTCAGAGAAAATGCTTTACTCACCACCTGTTTCCTTAATCCTTTGGAGATCTCCTCTTTAACATATTTAAGCTACATTCTGGTTCATAGGTTGCCCAACTGAACAACAATGATGCCTGTTCGCTACCAAATCAGGATTCCTTCTAGGGGTAGAGATTGATGTCTGTTTTATATGGAGAAGGGTCATCTAAATCTTCTGGCTGAATTCTAGCACAATTATGCAAAATACATTAACCAAAATAAAAGCTGGTCTGACCAAAATAAAAAATGAAAGCCATCCCAGAGTTTCAAATGCTCCAAAATAATTAACTTTCTTCATTTATTATATTAAACAATAACACTTCTTTTATATTAAACAATAAACATAGAGCATGGGTTAAACTTCAGCAATCCTACCTTCTCTTCCACTCCACCATGTTCTTATATGATAATTTCAAAAATAAATATAGGTGCCGCAATGGACATATTTGGATATACATTAGTCAGCATCTGTAAGCTTGCCCTTTCCTACCAGATTCAGGGGATGGATCCTAAGAGCAGGGTTGACTCCAAACTCACCTGGACGGTATTCCTTCCATTAATAAATTCCTCTCCCACCAAATCATGTGATCAAATGTTTGAAATTCTCTACCTAATACGATTCATAGTAACAACCTTTGTAATGCTTTGGAACTGGAGAATGAAGTGTAACTGTTGTTTTTTTAACCTACAGTAGTGGCCAAAATTGTGGAAACCTTTTGGGGAAAGTGTATTTTTGAGGTTTGATGGCTAATAACACCACTTTTTTGGGGGGGAATTTCAAGATAATCATATTCCACTGCTGGAATGGCCTGGGAAAAGCCCACACCTTAACCCAATTGAAAATCTATGGAGCCAACTAAAGAAACTTGGTCAGAAGCGACCCAGCAATAAAACCCAGTTAATAGAACCAATCATTCAATCTTGGTTTCACATTATGACAGCTGCAGAACTAAAAGACTTGGTTCACTCCATGGGAAGACGTTGTAGGGCCGTAATTCATGCTAAAGGTTACCCAACTATTAACTGACGTGATAATTTTTGTATATCTCGTTTTTTCTATGGTGATAATTTTTGTATATCACGTTTTTTCCACCTGTTTCATTTTTTCTTCTTTATACTGTAACTACTATTCTAATAGCAAATCTTTCATAAAAGTTATTGCAATACATTCTTGATTAAATTATCTTTCCACTGATCTATAATTTTATGGTACTACTCCCAAAAAAAAGTGGCGTTATTAGCTAGTTTTAGAAAATACACTTTTCCCAAAAGGAATTTGGCCACTACTGTATGTACCCTTTGTATTCTGGGACAGCAGAAAGAGATGACAAGAAGAATCACAAAAGACGACAAAAGGAAATAATCTTTTTCTCTTCCCTGCTGCCATTAGTGGCAAAAAGCCCTTCCTTTCCTCCTGAAGGGAAGCTAAAAATGTTAGAAGGCAGGCATCGCTATCAATTAGGGCTTGCTTAAAAAGAATCCATGGTGACATAAAATAAAATCCACTTGATTCAAAGATAGATTGCATCTCCTCTATGGAAGAAATAAAGTTTGACAGAGAGGTAGGAAACCGGTAGAAAAGAATTAAAAAGATTGAATTTCAAGTTAAAAGAATGAGAATTGTTACAGACCCAATGGGATGAACAAGTTATTCTGGCATAGATAATACGTGTCTGTAAAGAGGACGGACTGAGTAGCACAGCAAGAACAGAAACTAGGGGAACTTATAAGCACCGAACGGAAGGCAGGAATGGAGAGTGTGTGCATTTGTTCCCAAGCCATAAATTCTCGTGTGTACAATTAAAAAAACAAGTGTGCTGGCTGACAGAAAGCAAAGGAGGAGCAACCAGGAACACTTAGAGAAAGCCAAAGGATTAAATTTACTTGCGAGGTACAAACAGCGCCCCAACAAAGTAGGGGGTAGCTGAACCAGATGACAACAGCAGTACACCATGTTCACAAAGAATCATGAGGAAGTTTCTATAAAAAGCAAAAGTGAGTGAATGTTGGGAAGCTGGGAGGCTCTATTTGCCTGCTCATCTCACCAAAGTCCACAAGCAACATCTATTTAGTGACATAGCAGTGTTAACCCAAGAGGGCAGGCTTCAAAAACACTAGCCTGTTCTTGAGGAACTTTGGGAGTTTATCTTCCAAGGGTTTAATATACTTACTTGCAAAATTCTTTTTTAGTGCTGAAGAAAAGAAAAACTTCACTCCAAAACCTGGCTGGCTTTATTTTGCCATCAAATTTTCAGCAGCACGATCTGGGGGAACTTTGGGTAGATACAAAACAGGCCAGAGTTTTTACAACGCAGCTCAGTTTGCTCGTCCTGCTATAAAAAAAAATGCAAGGCCCAAGGGACGTGTCTGTGTGTTATTTGTCTGTCTTACAATCCAATCAAAGAATTAGCCAAGCTGTAGTGCTTTAACATAGGGGTCTCCAACCTTGGCAACTTTAAGACTTGTGAACGTCAACTCCCAGAGTTCCTCAGCCAGCAAAGCTGGCTGAGGAACTCTGGGAGTTGTAGTCCACAAGTCTTAAAGTTGCCAAGGTTGGAGACCCCTGCTTTAGCAGCTCCTCTGCCCTAAAAACTATTTAGAGTTTTGTAACTAAAAACTATTTAGAGCTTTGTAATCCCAAATGATGTGTATATGTAAAACAGCATGTGGGATGTAGCCTAGGCTGCTAGTGAGAAGTGCTTTTTTTGCAACTGTAATTGCTATTGTATTAACTGTTCCTCCAGATTTAGGAGGCCAATGGCCACCAGGAACTCCTGAGAGAAGTTATCTATCCTTACTTCTTGAATTCCTTTAATTACTTCTTCAGTCTCTGGGTGTGAGTCCCTTCCCCTCACTCAAGCCCCCAAAGGCAGCAGTTTGTTAACAAAAAAATGAAATGAAAAATCGCCGCATCTACAAATCAAGGAAAGGTGAAGAATATTATTGCAGCAGTGGCCAAAAGGAGATTTATGTTCATCCAAGAAGTTACTTGGATGAGCAATGAAATGTCTCACTTTAATAAACTTTGGTCCAATTGTGCCATGATTTAAGCTTTTTTAGATGTTCATCAAATATGCATTTCTAGACTTGGCAGCTCAGTACATTAATCAGGATATTAGTTGCCCATGCAAAATTAGACAGAGATCTTACTCTTGAACTGTTTTCGATAACAGAATGGGCCAACTTGCCACAGCCGAATTTAACCATTCAATTTAATTATTTAAATAATTTAAAAATTATTTTGATTTTTGTCATTCACACTTTATTTTGTCCCTCCTTTTGCATCCTTTCTTTAATGATGATAATAAAGAAATGATAATAAAGAAATGCACCATTTCTTTGATATTAGTATAACTCCTGTCCCAAGGTGTGTCGGCTGTGGCGAATTGGCTGCAGCAAGTTGACTGTGTTGAGTTGGCTATGGCCAATTGGCCACAGTGAGTTCTCCTAGACCATTTTGAGAAGCTTTTTTCTGAATTTGTGTGACATGTTACATGTCATTTGTATTAGGACCTTGAAATTATAACTACAACTATTACTTTATTTCCAGATCTATACACTAAATAAATATACATGATGCACACACAAACTATACATTATTTATGTACAATATATAATTATATTCCATTAACAGGCAGGCAATAATAAGAGCTATGGGAAATCTGCCAGTCTGTATTTGTGTTTATATATAAATACGTCCAATGCCCAATTCCAAGTATCATGGAGTAATGATAGACGAGCTAAGAGACAATAAATGTATACAAAGCAAACCAGTGGGGAAATCTGAACCGGTTTGCTACCGGTTTGCTGGTTGCGCCGTGCGCCAAAAGGAGGCTTGGGAAGGTAAGTAGAACAGTGCGGGGGAGGGATTAGCTTTGGCGCGTGATCTTGGGAACCTTTAAAAAAACTTTTATAAAGCATTTTTTACTACCGGTTCAGGTGAATAGGTAGTAAAAAAATGCTTTAAAAAAGTAAAAAAAAAAAAGGCTCGGACGATCACAGTTGTGCGGTGCGATCGTCTGAGCCTTTTTTAAAAAACTTTTTTAAAGCATTATTTTACTACCTATTCACCTGAACCGGTAGTAAAAAATGCTTAAAAAGTTTTTTTAAAAAAAGTTGCGATGATTGCGGGTCACTCAGCTGATCATTGGAACTTTTTTTTTTTTACATTTTTTTACTGCCAGTTCGGCGAACCAGTAGCATTTTTTACTACTAGTTCGGGCGAACTGGCCTGAACCGGCAGCATTTCACCCCCAAAGCAAACTATATACAACATAATGTATGTTTTTTAAAAAAAATCTACAAGCACAGACCTTATTCGCTTCTTAGTAAAAGAAAAGGGGCTCCAAGCCACTGTGGTTAGATTCAGGGCACCTCTTCAATACCTAGAATGGTTTGCCTGAGCACCAGACGATCTGCATTTGGGTCCAGAGATATGCTCAGGTTGCATAAATATGGTTGAACATGACCAAGATTTATTTTTAAGAGCTTTCCTGAACAAATCTCCATAGTAAGATTTGTGGCAAACATGACTTACAGCATTACCTTTAAAATTCTATATACATTTTGATTATTTAAATGAGTTGCCAACACTATTAATGAATTAAAGGAAGAGGCTTAAATCTTGCTATAACTGTGCCCCAAATTCATTTGTTCCAAGGCTGTCATTCAGGATTGCCAATCACTTTGCAAAAGCAGGGTATCAAACCTTTCTGGGACATTTATTTATTGAGCTCTCCAATCCATATAGTTCAGTCCTGGATCTTCCCAGATTAAAAGAACGGGTAGCAGAATAACAAGGAGAGGCTTAATCCTGCCACTAATGTCAAGGGTGGGAAAACCAGGAGATGAAGAATGGTAGTAAAGAGAGAATATTCCCAAAAAGGAAATTGCAGCATGAATCCAAGCAGGATACCAAGCTGTGCTAGAAAATAATTTTATTCAGGCACAAAGCATTGAAAAATGGAGAGCTGGAAGAGACTTTGTGTCTGCAATGCTATTGAGAGGTGTCTTCAGGAGGACTTTTTTTGGGTGTGTGGGTGGGAAGGACAGAGAGACTTAATTCTCCATGTATGCAAGAAAGAAGAATGCCCAGTGAGATAAAGGGAGTCAAGGAAATGAAGGCACATGAATGGGTCCTCTCTACACTTCAAATATCATAACAGAAGAGAGAAAATGTGCTTGGATACCACATTTTCATTCAGGCTCAGGGAGAAAATGGAAGTGTTTTCAGAATGTTCCACAGGAATGACCACCACAGGGTCATCTCAATACGGGCTGAGGGAGTGTGCTGTACCTGTCAGTTTTGAGAAGATGCCATCCTAACCAAAACTATGAAGACAGTTCTCTTACAAGTAGAGAACCAGGAAACATCACCTTCCCACCCCATAACCCAGAAGGTATGGCACGAGAAATCAAGAATGGAAGACCAAGCAAGCCAGAGCATAGTTTACAGTGGAAAAACCCAGTGTTGTGAAAGTGGCCTATCCCCAAGATAAATAATGGAATTCTTTTTATAAAGTCAGGAATATTTTCTGAATAAGGCTATGAGGAGATGAATAAGATGATCAACAGAGAACTAATTACTTTATAAAAACAAGGTAGGGGGGATTATATACAGTAGCCATAAATCAAACGTTCAGCATAATCCCAATATTTCAATTCCTTTGCACCTTCTCTCCCTTTGTATGGAATCTCAAAGCCCAAATGCATATGCAAATGCATATGTAACCCTGAAAATTAGCTGAAGTCAGCTCACAGAATAAAGCTCCAACTGGCTCTTCCCTAAATCATGGGGGACCAACAGCTAAAACGGAAAGGGTGAAGTTAAAAGAAAGTGTCCCATTTGCGAAGCTAGCAGTCATTTGAACACCACAATCAGTTGAACACCAATTGTTGCATTGGCATCTCTTCCTATTAACTGAACCCATGACCTCCCCTCCACATCTCTCCCATCAACATTTCAGAAAGACACACAGGAGGGCAGCCGCAGTTCCGAAGATACCAAATTATTATTATTTTTTCATCTGTTTTCCAGGCAGCGTACACATAACGGCCCTGCCCTTTAGCCGCAACAGTTTCCCCCGGTTTCAGTATGATTTGGTGTTGGTTAAAAGATGCTCTCGTCTGTACAACAAAGCGTTTATGGTTAGAAGCGAAACTTCTTGTTCAACAGAGCGCACTTTTGGTTGTAGTGAGATCCGGGCTCAGAAGGTAACGGACTCTCCGCAACTGGTTTAATCAAAGGAGTCACTTAATTCTGGCCTTCTCTCCTTACTAGAATCTCAGGAGAGAACTCAGCTGGGGCCTTTTTTTCTCTCTGACAAATTGGCTTTCTATAAATGGGGTGGGCTTTTTCACGGAGAAGCATCCTATCGTCTGAGCTTGCAACCTATGGTTTGGTGAACGTCTACCCTCTAAATTTATAAATATCTAGGGAGAGGGTGTTATTTTCTTAAGACAAAGCACAAAATGCACAAGAAAGGAACTCTGATGACGAGTTGTATTTCAGGCCACTGACCAACAGAAGAAAATTAAAAGAGACTTAACTACAGAAGAAAAACAATCAATCTCTTTATGAAGATCACACTTCTCCTTGAAACCAGAGGTGAGTGGCAGCTTCAGTGACTGCGCTGCCACTCCGCAAAAAATGAAGTTTCGAGTGGCAGCTCCGTTAATGCTACTGTTTTTCTGCAGCGCAGCAAAATCTGGCAGTCAGTGGGATGGGGCTGCTGCAAGTTCTCTTACAAGCAACATTTTCAGCCTAGAAAGTCTAACTTAATTTAAAAAAACAAAACAAAACAAAACGAAAAGACTGCCGTGAAGCCAAGCCCATCAAATGCAGTTTGCTCCTCAACAGTCAGCCCCACAGGTAGCTGGAAGTCATGAAATAAAAACGGAGGGGAAAAAAAAAGGAAAATGGCCCAAGGACATCAGGGATCTAGAACAGGTACCAGGAAATAGGTCTGCTTCATGGCCACCCTTGCTTTTAAGAAGTCGGCATGTCGGCCTTACTGAGTGCAATGGCCAACTCCAGGTCTTCCTGCTCTTGTCTTCGCAATCGCGCCAGCCTTTCCTGCTCTGCCTTCTCACTCTCCCGTTTGGCCCACGCCAACTGCTGCTCCTCATTGCCAAGCTAAAAAAAGTAACAAAAACGAGACTCGGTTAACAAGATAAGAGAGAAGAAAAAGCCCAGGATGGTAGCAACAGCAGCAGCAGCAGCAGCAACAGCAGCATTTGGGGACAGATTCACCTCCCACAACCCTCCATACCTGACTTGTATCAGTAGGAACTAGGGATGGGAAGAGGCCAAGAGTGGTCAGGGAACCTTTCTCTTGGCTAGCTCTACTCAAATTTCTCCACCCATCATTTCTTCAAGGTATTGATTAACAATCCCCCCACATTCCCAGGGCCTGCTTTCAGTTTAATCTTGCCTCTACCGCTGTTTCTTCCGATCACCAAAACAAATGCTTGATATGGATGATCTAAGTGATCGAATACTCTCTTTCTGGCCCGTTTTTGTATCATTGGTCCAATTCACCCTCTAACCGATCAAACCAAAATGCTCTCTAGCCTGGGCTTTTAAAATCTTTTTGACTGATCCTTCTTGCCTGTCAATTTTTCATTTTTCTTTATGGCCCCAAATTCTTCTACATATCTTGCTTGATACTAGAATTCCATATCACCTCTGAAGCTTACTGTTTTTTTAATGTCGAAATTATGTTAAGATCCTGCACTATAATTACCTAAAATAACTATTTTGCACTAAGTAACTTTGAATTATAGTAGACTTAACAAACAATTTATAAAATTACAAAACCCAACGTTTGTATCTTGTAACAGAGAACCCCAAGAAGCGCCCATGTACCTAGGATCAGGCCAAAGATTGCTCTTAGCATTTGGGGCAGGATGGCTCATGGCTTGGATGGCAATGTTGTGCATGTGTTTGGTGTTTTAGCTGTAAAAGCCAGTTTGGTGTAGTGGTTAAGGTGCTGACCTAGAAACAGAAGACTGTGAGTTCTAGTCCCACTTTAGCCATGAAAGCCAGCTAGGTGACTTTGGGCCAATTATTAGGAGATTGTGAGTTCTAGTCTCACCTTTGGCATGACTAGCAAGCTGGCTAGGTGATTTGAGGCCAGTCTCTCTCTCAGCCCATCTCACAGGGTTGTTGTTATGGGGAAAATAGGAGGAAGGAAGGAGTTACTTATAAAGTAATAAAAGGTAGGGTAAAAATCTAATACATACATAATAAATAAATGTGGCTTGTTACAGTTACAGATTATAGATGATTCCTATTGCAAAATGTTAGTGGATTCTCAGCAATCATAACCAGAGAGGCTAAGACCCTTAAAGACCCTTCAGATTTTCATCACTGCTGTGTAAGAAGGGTCCCAAAGGGTCTCTTTCAGGTTCATACCTGATATGGGCTACAACCATGAACATTGTCGCTGTCTTCATTTTCCATTACAGGCTGGTATTAATGGAAGAAGAAAGGGAAAACGCATGCAACGCAATTAGAAAAAGGACACCTGACATAAAAGCTGAGATTTAAAAGGCTCCTCTAGGCTTGGGTTTAAATCTGCTCTCTGAAGAGATGCTCTATTTGGCATGGAGAAGCCCTCAAAGTCAAGTCCTGATGCTTTTCATTAAAAAAAAAGAAAAAAAAAAGAATTGGAGAGCATGGGATGAGAAAGATTTTGCAGCCTGAGATCAAAATTCTGCCGGAAAGGCAGAACAGGAGATGGATGGATGAACAATCTGGTATAAAAGCGGCAGCATCTGTGAGACAACCAGTGTAGTGCAGGGATTAATTTTTTGATGAGACAAGGCCTGATGACTTTATATCCACCACTGCCCCCAGAAACTCAGTCGAACCAATAATTTTCTCTCAGCTCAACCTATCTCACAAGGTTGCTGTTGTGGGGAAAAAAATGGAAGAGGGAATGCTATATATGCCCCCTTTGTCTTCTGGAGGAAAGGCAGACCACTGTATAAATCTAACAAATAAATACAAATAAATGAACGTTGCAATCCTTTGCTAACACACATTGAATCTGAGGCCACCACTAATTACAAGGTGAGTGCTCTCTGAGTTTGGTTGTTTTCTTGCAACCAACCAGCCAAGCCCAGAAAGCACCAAGGACTCCTCATTTCAACCTTGAGTTACAAATATTCTCCTTTATTGGTATTTACAAGGTCTCAGGTCAAATATGACAGAACTAAAATCACGTCTACAGCATCCATCCCATGCATAAAAACAACTGAAGCTCTAAGAAGAAATGTCTCAAAACCTATCAATTTCCCATCTTCTCCAGAGCAACCAGTTTAGCGAAGAAAGAGGAACTGCTCCTCCAATGCCTCTTTATTTCTTGAATTAGATATCAGGCACTGATTAGATATCAGCTGCTGAACAGTAAGATGACAGCATAAGGTTTTTAAAGTGACCCCCTGAAATAAAACTACACTCTCCCAAGTATTGAGGATGAAACTATTTTTAATTGTCCAGTTGGAGAAAACAGGGAAATAGGAAGTAAGTAGGATCCAATTTGGGTCAGTTATCAGGACCAGAGGTTTTGTCTTCCAAGCTTTTGGACTCGTGCTGGAGCCCATCTTCTCTTCAACCAGAGAGAAGTTCCCTGCAAATGAGCTCCAGCAGGAGTCCGAAAGCTCAGGAGAGAAAATCTCTAGTCCTGGTGACCAATCCTGGTCCAGGTGACCAAATCAGGGACACATATATTTGCCTTCATTGATGTAGAAAATAAGGTCCAAGAAAGCCAAAGGCATTTGTTGAAGATGTTTGGTGAAGACACCAGAATTAGATATTTCTATACTTATTTGTTGGTTTTCAAAGCAAGATGGGGGAGTTATAGGTAATGATGGTAGTGTAATGGAAATCTAGTGAAACAGGATCACTTCTAGATATAGCTTCTAAAGGACAGGATAGGGAAAGCAGTAATGGTAACTGTGGGACATTGTAAAATACGTCAAGAGAACATAATGTCAAACCGTAGAAGGAAGAGACTCCCTCAAAGAATCACAGCAACTAACCATACTTGGCATCTACATTCATTTAGTAGTACTAAAGAAGATCCTGAAGGAGAAATTTAAATCAGGAAGGAATCTAAAGGAGAAATCATTCCAGCAATTTAATATGATAACTGAAATCAATGATTCTCAGACTGAATTACTGCAGCAACCTGACATGACTTTCTAAATTCATGTCTTGTCAAAATAAAGAGGTACACATTCTACAATTCTAAAAGATTAAACACAAAGTCATGAAACTTGAATCGTTGGGATGCTAATTTGCATTTAATTCTAAACGGTAGGCAAGATCTAGTGCTGGATATATTCTTGAAACAAATGGAAAGAAGCAAATATAAGTTTAGAGCCATGAGGGCGCAGTGGTTAGAATGCAGTACTGCAGGCTAACTCTGCATTCCCACTGCCAGGAGTTCGATCCTCGCCTGGCTCAAGGTTGACTCAGCCTTCCATTCTTCCAAGGTTAGTAAAATGAGGACCCAGACTGTCGGGGGCAGTATGTTGAAGATAGATAGATAGATAGATAGATAGATAGATAGATAGATAGATAGATTTATTTTAAAAGAATGGTTTGGTAAGAATGTGTTTGAAAAGGAAATTCAACAGGCCAAGTCTATCCAAAATAGATGGAACTCTGAATATCATCTAGTCCATGGATGTCCAAACTTGGCAAGGTTTAAGACTTCAACTCTTCATGTCTGGCTGAGGAATTCTCAGAGCTGAAGTCCACAGGTCTTAAAGTTACCAAGGTTGGACATCCCTGATCTAGTCCAATTTCTGCCCAGGATTCCATTACTAAGCAGTCTACTGTTTCTACTTGCTATTAGTCTTGAATAAGGCCACCAGAATGGGACGAGACAACTGGATTAAAATTTGAATTGTATAGAAAAATAATCAGAATACTCATTTACTTGGAATGAGTTTAAAATCTCTAGGATCAAATGAACTGCATCTGAACAAACTGAGGGTCTGCCCAAATCTTTATTTGAGAAATCCTGTTGGTTAATTGTTCTGAGTAATTTATTAGGTGAAGGCTAGATGGCACGACTGGTTAAATGGATACACTGCTGGCTCAATAAGAATTCACAAAGGGTGATTCTCCTCCTTAAATTAGAGGGGAGAATCAGGCAAGGTGTCACAAGGTACAGCCCTAGCACCCCCCCCCCCGACAATTTAATCATTTGGATGAAGTGTAGGGTATCCTTATTCAAATTTGCAGGTGGATGAACTACATGCTGTATACAAGGAGAAATAAAACTCAAAACTATCTTGGTGGGTTAGAAAAACTGAAACAGAATGCAATTCATCAGACAGAAATGCAGAATCATGTACGGTAGTTAGGTAACGAAATTCTTATGCAGAGGCACAGAATGGGGAGTACTACTTTGGCAAAATTATCTGTGGGAAAAGGTATTGGAATAATAACTATTCTACTTTATTCCTTATAGACCAGACCTCCTCCTTGAATATTTCTAATTCTGAGCATCACATTTGAAAATAAAAATATTCAGATCACTGGATCAAATTCAGAGCAAGGGAGTAAGGACAATGTGTGGGGACTGGAAATTAAGTCCTATTAAAGATTTAGAATCTGAATGTGTTTAGCCCTGGGAAGCAAATACTAAGAGAAGTTATAACAATTACTCTAACTGTACCTGAAAGAAAGCCATAACTTGTTTTCTAATATTACAGAGAGCAGAACCTGGAATAATAGCAGAGAGCTCTGACAAAACGTGATCCACTGGAGAAGGAAATGGCAACCCATTCCAGTATCTTTGCCATGAAACCCCCATGGACCCCCAAAAGGAAAAAAGATATGACGCCGGAAGATGAGCCCCTCAGATCAGAAGGTGTCAATAGGCTACTGGAGAAGAGCAGAGGGCTAGTACTAGTAGTGCCAGAAAGAGTGAAGCGATTGGGCCAAAGCTGAAAGGACGCTCAGCTGTGGATGCATCTGGTGGTGAAAGGAAAGCTGTAAAGATCTACAGAGAGCAAGATGGCTGGATGGAGTCACTGAAGCAGTAGGCGTGAGCTTAAATGGACTCCAGAGGATGTTAGAGGACAGGAAGGCCTGGAGGAACATTGTCCATGGGGTCGAGATGGGTCAGACACGACTTCGCAACTAACAACAAGGAAGGAATTTCTAGGCTATGAGATCTGCTCCTCCTAGTGGTCCTGCTGGATACTGCCCACCCACCAGGGCGGTACTGAATTGAATACAGACCAAAATTGCCCATCCTGGGTGGACAGCTGACAAGTGGTTGGTCGGGTTTTTTTTGTTGCAATCCATGGATGTACAGTCAAATATGTTAAAATGCAGACATGGCCCAGATGCTGCTTTTGATCCTGCACAATGGCATTTGTCAATCCGAAAAATGAACCCTGAACCTGTGGGAATAACTCTAGGAAGATGATAGGAAGGAGTTTCTAGCTAAATGTTTAGAATAAAACACCACAAAACTAAACTTCCTAACAGTACACTGAATTTAACAGTGGAACCAGTTACTCAGTTACTCAGAAGAGGAGATTTCCTTCTTTGGAAGTATTTCAACAGAGGCTGGACAGCTGTCATGCAGCTTTAATTTCCATATCTGCACCATTCAGGATCTGTAGGAGCCATGATGGCACAGTGTTTAGAATGCAGTATTGCAGGCTAACGCTGCCCACAGCCAGGAGTTTGGCCTTCCATTCCAAAATGAGGATCAGACTGTTGGCGGCAATGTGCTGACTCTGTAAACTGCTTAGGGAGGACAGTAAAGCAATATGAAGCGGTATATAAATCTAAGTGCTATTGCTATTGCTACACTGCCTCTTCCAATTCTATAATTGGTATTACTAAAACATTTAAAGTGGTTAAATAAATAAAAAAGGAATAGTAGAGAAGTTACCAAAAAATCCTTCAAACAAAAGAAAATGGGCATTTTACCTGTCACATAAAGGGATCTGTGGCCACCACAGAAAGCTCAATGAAAATGTCAACCTGATATGCTACATTTTTATATGGTTCAACAACACACAGAATTCTCTGCGTAGTTCTGCTTACTGTACCATCAAGGGAATATGGTAGATTTGGAAAAATGCTCTTCAAAATTTCAAGGAGCTGGGGAAGGAATGAAGTTGCCTTCACTTTTTTTCAGAATTAAAATCTGGGCTCTTTCAATAAAGCTGAATAACAGGAGGTTGAGAATAGCTATTTGATCCTACAGTGCAAATTACCGAATTCATCAGAAAATACAGTAGTGTAGAAGGAATGGCAGAATCTGGACTGGAGTGAAAAGAGAAGTCAGTTTAGAATCCCTACATAGCCACGAGCGAACTAAGTCCAACCCCCTTTAAGTGCCATTGACCCTTATCTAATTCTAACCAGGTGCTGACTGTTATGAGATGGATTTCTGTACATAGGCCATTAGCAATAAATTAACTTAACTAAACTTTCACCTGCGGACCTGGTCTTTCAGGCCCCATAATGGTAGCCACCAGGATGAAAAGATTTAAAGATGATTTGTAGAGCCTATGAATCCTGGTAATGAATCCCGTATCAAATAGTGCCTCACCTCAATTGTCCTCAGGACCTGCTTGTGCACTTCTCACTACAATTGCTAGATTAAAGGCCCATAATCTGATTGAACAAGATTTTTCTTATATTTAATATACTGTATGGTAGTCACATTCTTCAAAAATATGTCTGATTCCCCATGTAAATCTATCTAAGCCCAATGCCTAACTCATCTCTTCTATAAATCCATTATGCATTTCATAATGAAGGATTCACTGCTTGTCTGCCTGAAATCAGTTGCCAATTTTCTACCCATAATTTAGTTTTTCCTTGTAGGGAAATGGCCTGACCTCCTGATCAAAGGGGGTATCCTATTACTTGACTACACCAGGAAAAAAAAAACATGTTTTCTATCTGTTATGCAGCTGTGAAAAAATTTCCTCTATTTCCTCTCTCTCTAGCAAGGATCAGTTCGGTGCTTGACACCTGAAAAGAGAGGCATGTTGACAGCTCCAAAGGGTGTGGGAGAATCAGGAATGTAATGAAGCCTATCCCATCTAAAATTGCAAGCAATGCAAGCAATGGAAAGGTCAACAAGTCCCAGAGGGCTTTCCCCAGCTTGGAGAAGTGGAAATCGTGCCAGTTGCTAGAGTCACAGCCTTTGCAAGGATTCATTTTGCATTCTGCCGGCCATGGATAACACAAGGCGCGACAGAAGCTAGCCTAACCCTCTTCCAGCAGGGTCACCCTTCTGAAGCTGTGGTTGATGGACCTTAGGAGGAAGAGGTGAGGACTCAAACCAAACATCAAGCCAGCGGGAATGCAAAGCTCAGCCCACAAAGACAACATCCTCTATGCTTTCTCGGTGCTTGTATTTCAAAGTAATAGTAGAAGAAAAATCAGAAGCATCCTCCTTGCTGCTACAGATGCATGCATGCTATGCTATGCCCCAAACCGCACATACAAGCTGTAAGTGAAATTCAGTGTTACGATGCAAGTGGGGATTAATTGTAAAATAAATAAATAAAAAAATAAAAAAATCCCCACATTGCTGGCCAAGATGGTAGTAGGGATAATCAGATTTTTAGCATAAGAGGTTTAAATCCACAGACACAACACCCCATTGCCCCATTCATGTACACACACCCAGCTGGACGCAGGAACTATATAAAGCTTTAGGTTAAATGGAGTTTAACATATTCCAGACCCTTGTGTACCCTTTCCTTGTTCTCTGCAGTGGACAGGCTGCAGGCATGCAAGCACATGCAGTGCCGAGAAAGAACCGGCTGCTTCCACTGAAGGAATTACACAAGCTCTTTCTGAGAAGTGAGGAGGGCTTTGGGGGAAGGGGATGATTCTGGCTCATTCCCCCGCCCCCCTCCATTCAAGGATCCAAGGCTTGTATGAGCTATCATAATGAAGATGGCAAACCAAATGGCAGATTCAACACCACAGACTCTTAGAAAGATTGCATAACCAGAAAGAAAACAGGATTTGTGTTTTTTTTTAAAAAAAAAAAAGGGGGGGGGAGGAAAAGCAATTTTCACAGGTGGATTGTACTATAGCTCAATTTCTGCTGAGAAACTGAATGCCCAACAAGAGGTGGAAAGAGTCTTTGAAAAGACAAAATAAAACCAAGATTGTGTTATTTAGGTTTTCCTGTTTATCAGTTGAACTTCAATCATACCAGCATTCAAATAAGATGTAGTACTAGAAACCAGACCTTTAAGTAACCAGATGTTAAACAGACACCCCTTGCTTCTCCATAATGTTCTGCTGCGCCATGGAAGTATCCTTAGTTGCTTAGGCTAAACAAGCCTGGACATATCCCTGTGTAACCTTTTCTGGGAGGTGATCAGGAAGGAAAACGCTGTAGCATGCTCCTTGTTCATCCACTTTATGGATCATGCACCTTTCCATGGGTACAATACTCCCCAAATATTCTAAATTTGCTTCCTTCCAACACAGGGCAATTATTTATCATATATTTATGAAGGGAGGAAGCATTCCCTTACTGCTTCTGAGAGCTTTCTAAAGATTGGATTGTCCTTAGTTCCAAGTAGTCTCTATTTCTCCAGGATAAAAAAAATGTATCTAATTTGGGAACTTTAATATATGGACTACAACTCACAGAATTCTGGGAGTCGAAGTTCACATATCTTAACGTTGCCAACTTTGTGACACTAGTATAGAGCTCGGATTGTGTAACTACAACCACCATCCTGACTTTTAATCTCATCTGGATGCCCCTGCCACCACAGGGGCAACAGCATATATACTCCGCAGCCTGAAAAACATATATGACCACTTTGTACATCTGATGGTCCTAATAATGCAGTAAAGTTACTTCTCTGTATCTATCCTCAGTGCCTAACGGCTGAGTTCAATATGTTGATTATAAGTTCCCACTTCCATGCCTCGACATATTTTGTACATTTAATTCTACAACAATGGTATTTATTCTTCTTCTATTATTCTCATTCCTAAACATTACACTGTTGAGACAGATCACTTTACCTCAGTGTCCTTCTCTGAACAAGGAAGTCAATCAGAAGTCTGGTCTTCTCTATTCCCCTTAAAATAGTTGCCCACAAATTGACATTTTCTAAATAAGTAGCAATTATAACATTCTTCATTGGCTATGGTACTTGGGCATCCTGGGAGTTGCAGTTTAATCACGTTTGACTCACACAAGCAGGGGAAAGCTGTTTAAAAACTACCTACGTTCCCACATGGCCTTGTTTGCTATTTATTTCAGGTTTTATAATGTACACGCCTACTAAATGTGTTAAAATAAAGGTCTGGTGTGTCCTTGCAAATTATTGACTGAAACAAAATTCGGGCACCGCTATTAGCCCTCATTTTAATTGGTGGAATAAAGACAGAAAGTGTTTGGTTGTAAATGCTGAAAACATTACAATAATAAGCAGCATTTTTTTCCTGGATTCCAGAAGTTCCTGAAGGAAGCTTCAGGATGTCATCCCCTCTCAAGGCCTCTAAAGAACTCTGGAAATATTTGGAAGAAAAAGCAGTATTCCACCAAACAAGCAAGCAAACAAACCTCTCTAATTAGCAGCATCAAACTCAGACTCTCTTTATTGATATGTCAAGGTGTTGGAATACAGAAATAAATGCAGAACTACATCAGGTGTGTGTGTGTGAGAGAGAGAGAGACAGCATGAAAGATTAAGAGACAAAAAGCTGTGGAAAGGAAAAGGAGAAGAGGGGGCAGTTGAAACAGAAACGGGAGCCCAGAGGCAACTGCTGTTAGCAGCTTAGAAAAAGCAGCTGTTGATGCAGAGAGAAGGAACTTAACTTACAGAGCTGAAGTCAGCAAACCCCAGGGAAGAGTCTTTAGAAGGTTTACTTGAAGAGGAAGGAGCAAACAGGACTCTTCCACTAAATAGGTCCCCAAACCCCTTTTTACTCTGAAACGGGTCACTGCTGTCAGCCCCGAATGGCTGAAATGGATCAGGGGGCTTGGCAAAATTGGAAGACCCGACTTGGCTTACAGGAGGACTTTTACCTGGAAAAGGTTGAGAGAGAGAGAAAAAAAAGGAGAAGGAAGGAAAGAACAAAAAGGAAGAAAGGGAAAGGTTACTTACCATAGGAAAAAAAATATCTAACTCTTACCCAGGAAGGTAAAACGTCCACCACTGGCACCACAAGTGAGTTCATGAGTGGCTACAATTGAGAGGGGGGGTGGAGGGGGCTTTTGCATAGCCAGACCGGGCCCAGATTTAAACGGGGCCTTGCTTTTAATAACTCTCTCCCCTCCCCAATATGTCTGCGTTACTCAAAACCAAAGTCATCCTACAGAAAGCCCCAAGAGTGTCTAAAAGTTTCAGCCCAACTGATAGACCTTATTTTATTTTATTTTTTTGGCTGGGACAAATCTTATACCATCTGGTATCTTTCAGGGGCTGCTTAGGAATCCTGGGAGCGGCGAGGGGGACACAAGACTGAGGAAGGCTAGGCCTTACAAAAAAAACAAAAAACAAAAAACCCAGATGCAGTTCAAAGAAAGCTAGAATAATTTTCTTACGATGATCGATACCACAAGTGGGCTGCTGTCAAGGGTTGGAAAAAAAACACACACACATTGCTGCTGATATTTTAAGTACTCTGTTGTTATCACTGCCTAATGTATTTTCTCTTTCCCCTTCCACCAAGTAAAACAGGTCCTCGGCTGAAAACCACAAGATTTTCAGCAGTTGCCTAAGTGGTGAACACAAACCGCACAGAGGGCTCACTTCAACAAAATGACGATAAACAGCAGTTTTCAATGCAGGGGGAAAAAAATTCAAACAAGCACCAGCAGCTTCCCCCCCCCCCCTGCAGCTCTGAGGAAAGACCCATGGGGGCAATGAGGAGGGCCTTCTTCCCATCTATTTGGGACTAGAAGAGGAATGCACAGGGCTCTTGGCTGAGCCTGCTAATCTGAGAGTTACTCAGAGCACCTTCCATGACAGTTCAAACCTCCGGCTCAAAGCGGGAGGCACGTGCAGAGTGGCTTTGCGGCAGCTGCCGCAGCAGAGATTCGTTCAACTTCCCTTTTCTATTCCAGCGAAGCTGCCTTCGATTGAGTGAGGCCATTGGGGTAGCCTCCACCCAGCGTTTTCTGCTCTGGCTGGCAGTGGCTCTCTAGGACTCCAGTGTGGCACTGTTCCCATGGCCTGCTTCTTGGGAGGTGAACCTTCTACCCACCGTCTTTCGGTAGGTTGTAAAGTTCATGATCTAAGAAAAGCCACGAAACTTCTAGATGCACATGGTGGCATCGGATATCTGTTTCTCCAAAAGCAGCCATCCCACTACAAACCAGAACACAGCTTCGGAAGCAGCGTGCCAGGAAGCTCTGGTGTTCAGGGAGGGACAGCAATTTGGACCCCGCCTCAAACTCTTGGGCAAGCTAGACAAGTGATTCTGGGTACAACTCCCCCCCAATCTCCCAGAAGTCTTAAAATAAGGAGGATCAGGAGGCAGATCTTGGTTAAAAAGACTCTTCTGTTTTCTCCACCCCATCTCCAACAACAACAACAACAAAAGCTATTTTCTCAACCCTCCCATGTACTTTTGGGAACTTCAGTCAACATTTGGGTTCACCTGAGAAAGCACCGAACAGGTCCAGTCTACACAAGGAATAGTGTGGGAAAACAGTGCTGAACATCTTCTGCACATGGGAAGGAAGGAGGAGTAACATATTACACTATGCTCTGCCCTTTGCTCAAAGCTGACTCGCTAATGGATGTTTTTCAAGGGAAAACTACCTAAACCTGAAAGAGAGCTGCACAAGCCCACCCCCACCTCTGGCCCATCTGGAAATAGTTTGAAGTGATAGATCCCTATTCTACCATTTCTCCATGCTCTGTGTGCAGGCCAAGACCACAATCGGATCTGCATAGGAAGCACCTTGGGAAATAGTATCAAGAGCTGCTAAAAGGCTCTTGGGGAGAAAAAAGTCATTGATGCCACTGCTGAGATGGCCAGAGAGGCATTCACTAATAATTTTCAATGAGAGAGGGCTCCATCCTGGTCTTTTCACAAACAGGGCTGCTCTCCCTTTGAAAGGGCACAAGGCAGAATTGTGACTGCAGTGCTCCCTCCCCAGAGACACTGATGCTGATGGGCACAAGTTGCCCCCATCCTACCAGATCTCAGGGCAGCCTCCTCCTTTTCAGGTGGGGTTTCCTGCCTATAGTCAGAGGAGGCAAAAAAAAAAAAAAAAAAAAGGGCGGGGGAGAGAGAAAGAAGAAAAAAAAACCAGCAATGCCCTCAGCTTGCAAACTTGTCCCAGGCAGTTGATCGAAGTATCTGCAAATGCTGGGGAAGCTGAATGTGCCCACAAGCAGCTCAGCTCCATCAGGAAGTTCTCTATGCAGTCTAGGAATAGGGAACTTTCTGATGGAGCTGAGCTAAACTGAGCTGCTTGTGGGCATATTCAGCTTCCCTAGCATTTGCAGGTACTTTGATGGACTGCCTGGGAGAGGTTTGCAAGCTGAGGGCACTGCTGTTTTTCTTTTTCCTTTCTCCCCCCCCCACTTTTTTCCCCCCACCTGCCTCCTAGACTGCTAAAGACAAGGCAAACATGAGTTTCTCATCTAGCGTGCAATCTCTCATCTCTGCATGTGCAGCCACTCTAACCTGTCCAATTTGTAGTGGGGGGGGGGCTAGAATGCTCACCCTGCACATAAAGGACAATCCCAGACACTTTTTGAGAATTCCCCCTGCCATTAAAACAAGGCTACAGTACAAGTGGAGAAAATCCAGCCACAAAACTTATGAAGATACTGTGAAACCTGAAAGCTAGATACCATCTTGAAAATATCAGTAGCTCGTAAATAAAAGATATAATTTAAGTGTCCCAATAGATCAACCCAGCTACCATAAGTGGCCTGGTGATGCGTCATGGGATTTTTTAATATTGCAGCCGCAAGAAATGGTCTCCGGTGATGTGAAAACAGAGTTTAGGTCCGGAATTCAGAAGCAGAGGCGTTAACCATTGAAGCAAGCAACGGTGCCAACTCTGCAAAGTTTCTCACCAAAGCAAACTTTTCACGAAGGTGGAACAGACTAACGATGCTAAGAGAGATATCTATGCACGTGGGCATATATTTGTTGTTTGAGGATTCCGATTCAAAGATCCGTGATATACCAAATCTTGCATCATGTCCGTTCTTTGAAACTGATTTCCAACATTCACACGTGCACAAGCCTCTTTCTTACAATGTTGGTGCTCAGCAGTGTTAAAAGGTCTACAAACAGCCACATAATTTCAGGTCAGCTGGAGCACCTGATCCCAAACTACAATCTCAGCATAACAAATTAATCAGTTAAGCTTTCTTAAATTATGGACTGTGAAAACACATTTTAACAGATTAGAAAGCTTATCTTGCAAATTCCCGTTGAGCCCCTGAAAGCACTTTTACTTGAAGCACTGCTTGAAACGTCTGATAACATACAGTTGAAGCATCTCAGTCAGGAGAAAACAGCCTCCCTTCTCTTTCCGGCTCATCACCAGAATCTTGCAAGTATATTCATCCTATACATCTAGTTCTAGAATCTGCAGGGGAAAAAATGGCTCTGTTCTCCTGCTGCTGATAAAATAGCAGCAACATCTTTTAGAAAAGACTTGCTTCATCTCACACCATGTTCGATTGCAATTCTGAGAAGCCTCAGCCAGGGTGGCCTTTAAATTAGACTGTGATTGATCTATCAATTGAGAGTCATCTAATTTCCTTGCAATAGCTAGATATTGGCTCACAACCAGAAAGCATTCTTGTCTATGTTTGAAATGTTCCCTATTTCATTGTCTTTCCTGGCTTCGAAAGAACCCCTTGCAACTTCTCTAGCATCATGTCTCCATAATATAGTGAGGCACTTGCAGCCCAAGGATGCTGAACTAAACCCAAACCTGGAGATGATGGGCATTGTACACATTTTGGTTTTGTGCACAATGGACATTCCATCCAGAAGCCTGAACAGCTTCTTCTAACACCCCGATTGAGCACCTGGTCTGTCACATCTGTTGTGGATTTGCTCAGAAAGGGAAAAGCAGGCAAGCCTGCGGCAATGGGAAAGTAATTCCTGGAGGAAATACGTGAAGTCACCTTTCCGCACCCTCGTGCCCAGAAAATATAATCGGAGAAAAGCTTGGCCAGTTTGGAGAAAAAAAAGTAGAAACGAACTTGATTCAGACAGCAACCACCTGGATGAGGCCTCATGAATGTTTTGAAAAAGAATGGCAGGTTTTCTGCACTATTGTTGTGCCTTTTGCAGGTCTGAAAGAACACCGTCACCCTACTCCTCTGTGTCAACAGAAGAATGTGCTTTCTGATGTTGCTGGCGAGCACTGCTGCTCAAACCATGTTAAGAGGATGTGAGTCTGGGTGGGGCTGATGCAGCTGGTCTCAGGATCACAGACCTACAAGGGCTACACTAAACTGACTTGCAATCACTGACACCCACACAGACATTTCCTGTACTTAGAAAAAAAATCTGTTTCTCTCTTTTGAGGCTCAACAACTTTTACCTAGAAGCTAGATAGCGGTGAGCACTGAAAGATCTCTTATCAGCAGTTGGGTTCCTTTTTTGTTTTTGCACTAATAATCTGTTTGAACTCTTAGGAGAGGTCTTAACTGACGGTTTTTAGCAGATATTTAATGAAGAAAAAAAAAGTGGGGGGGGGGGCAGGGGAGTTTTGATGCCCAAATGACTGAAATGAGCAACTAACCTCTGGCGGGGAAACGCTTTGAGATTCTTCACATTAGCATGGTACAGTTACATGGCTCCTTTCTGGACCCTTGAGCAACATAGCATAGCACTGTCTGCAAACCTGTGTTAGACCTTTAGCAGCAGGGTGAGAAGAAGTCTGTGGAGGTCAATGAATCCGCTCCAGATTTGAAGAGGTGGGGGAAGAAGCATAAATTTTTACTTGTGTTCCAGGCTGGCCAAATTGGGCAATCCAAGCCTAAAGCCAAGAAGTACTTATTGATACTATAAATGTAGGATAGGAAAACCTGCCAGCCCGATAACATTTCTAAGGGGGATTTTGAATTTTGGGTGTGCATGCACGCATGCATGCACGCACGCACTCGTGCATGTAAAACAAGATCACCGCAGAGAGAAACATTTGCATGTCATAAAATAATTTCGTGACTTTTCCTGTTGGGTATCATGCAGGATGGAAAAAAAGCAAAGCAAGGGACAAAAGAGGCCACCTAGCAACTTCGTACAATGTTCGGTCTATTCAAGTCGTGGTGGAAGAAACAAATAAGAGCATAAAATTACTTTATTTGATTTCTATTCGCCTATTTATTTGGGAACTTGGGAAGTGAAAACTCAAGCCACCCAGCACAGAAACTAATATGTAGCTTCCAGAAACCTTGCAATTATTCCAAGCAGAGGAACAGAAAGAGCGAAAGGGACAGAAACAGCGAAAGGGAATCAAAGCAAACAAGTGAAAGTATAAGGGGGGGGGAGGGAAAAGCTACTCCCTAGAAAAAGTTTGCTTTAGAGGAAACTCAGGGAGTTTCACCACCCCTACCCCTGGCCAACCCTTTGCTGTCATTGGTGAGCAAGCATCCCAAAAGAAATATAACTCACCACTGGGTGGCTCAGGCCTGGGAGGCATATTTTTCTTCGGCGGGAGGGCAGGAGTGTCTGCTTTAGTCTTAAAAGGATCATCAGAGAATCCAGCTCCTCCAAAAGAGGAGAATGGATCAGAAGCCGGAGGCTGCATGAGAAAGATCTGCATTTAGACTATTGCACAGAGTAGCAAAGGGAAAAAACCCCAACAACCCAGGTGCGGATGCCGAAGACGGAGGAGGGCAGGCTCAGTTGCAAGTTTGTTGAGAGGCGAGGGGTGGGAGAGAAGGACCTTGGAAAGACAGCAGAGAAGCCGACAGAAGAATCCCCAAACCATCTACTCAGCATCTTTGGGTGCAATATCAGTGTTGGATTTAAGAGACACCTGTTTAAAATGGTAGAAGTTCCCATTTTGCTCGAAGGGCAGGCCTGGAGTGAGTGAGGCAGCAGTTATACTTTTAAGCTATACAAATTTGCACATGTCTAGGTCGGTAACACATTTCTTCCAAGTTTGAGAATTACTGGATACATGCACGTACACACGCACACACAAAAAAACACTGCTTAAGTGAACCAATATAGCTGCTTCCACATCCAAATACTAGGAGGGGGGGGGAAGCAAAACTAGACATATAATAACTGCAAAGGATTTGTCAATAGCAGGAAAACAATCCTACACTCGGACACAAGTTGCCATTGCACACAATGTGAAACTGTGCTTGGGTTTCCCAGGTGGGCAGAGTTCCAGTAAAATCGATCTAATCACTATCTTGAGCAGGGGACTCCAACCTTGGCAACTTTAAGACTTGTGGACTTCAACTCCCAGAATTCCTCAGCCAGCAAACCAAAGCTGGCTGAGGAATTCTGGGAGTTGAAGTCCACACGTCTTAAAAGTTGCCAAGGTTGGAGACCCCTGATCTAGAGTAGACTATTCTGGCATTTACTGTAGGAAGAAATACGGAAGTCACTAACTTGGATTTATGGCATGGGACAGGATTACCTGAGGGACTGCCTCTCCCCAATTACATCAGCCCATCCCATTAGATACACCAGATATAGAGCATGCCATGAGTGCTATCTGTGAGGGATCTGCATTGGTGGTTCCCAGGAAGCAGCCTTCTGTGCTGTTGGCCTTATGGAACATTTCCCACCCCCAAATTCAGGTTAGCTCCATTCCTGTCTTAATGTTGAGGAATTCCTCAAATTGGTTTCGACCTGGTTATAATCACAGGTTTGGGGTTCTCAGGGGACTGGCAATATCTTAAGGGGGGCTCCTTATCCAGTGGTTGATACAGGTAAGCCCTCGACTTACAACCACAACTGGGACCAGAATTTCCATTGCTAAGCAAGGCAGTTGTTAAGCGAGTTCACCCAATTCTACAAAAAAAAATTTTTTTTGGCCATAGTTGTTAAATGAATCACGCAGTCCTTAAACGAATCTGTTTCCTCTACTGAGTTTGCTTGTTGGAAGCTGGCTGGGGAAGATTATAAATGGGACTCATACGACCCCAGGACACTAAAACCATCATAAATGCATGCTAGTTGCCGAACACCTGAATTTTGATTATGTGGCTATGGGGATATTTTGACAGTCATAAGGGTGAGGATCAAGTCACTTTTTTCAGTGCCATTGTTAACTTTGAAGAGTCACTAAACAAATGGTTGCAAATTAAGGACCAGCTGTATGTGGTTTATATACTTATTCTGTGCTTTGTATGCTCTAATTTTTAAATTGTGCTTTGATTTTTTTAATAACGACTGTTCATATTTATGACTGTTTTTATAATCCCTGGTTTTATATTATTTATTTGGTTATTGTATGCTGGCCAGAGTAATTTTTGGTGAAATAGATGGTTATACACATTTGATAAATAAACTGGTCCTTAAGAGCACACCAAAGATTACAGGTAGTCCTCAACGTACGACCACAAATGAGCCCAAAATGTATGTCGCTGAGAAATTTGTTAAGTGAGCTTTGTCCCATTTTATGACTTTCCCTTGCCACATTTGTTAAGTGAATCACTGTAGTTGTTAACTTAGTAAAATGGTTGTTAAGTGAATCTGGTTTGCCCATTGACTTGGCTTGTCAGAAGGGCTACAAAAGGGGATCGCATGACCCCGGGACATTGCAATCGTCATAAATATGAACTGATTGTCAAACATCCAAATGTCAATCCCGTGACCATGGGGAAGTTGCAACGGTCATAAGTATGAAAAATGATCATAAGTCACTTTTTTCCAGTGCTGCTGTAACTTCCAAATGGTCACTAAGCAAACTGTTGTAAATTGAGGACTTCCTGTACTGTTGTAAATCGAGACTTCTGAAGTGAACTCTCTCTTGTTACCAGACAATGTATTTGACTGTTTTAGAGCCTCTGGAAGCTACTCAGCCAAACTACTGACCCTCCCACCTTCAGGACTGGCAGCAGCTTACATCGGAATGTCAGAAATGACACAATGACAACAACAGAGAGGAAGGAGCTACTTGCCTGCTCGTATGTCCTGCTCCTAAGTCTTCTAGAGACATCTGTTTGCGACTAAGAGAAATAGGGATATTGACTAGATGGATCACCTCTATTTTACTATCAACTCTAAAGAGCAGCAGTGAATTAAAATCTCGCTAAGAGCTTTTCACATCAGCTGCTGTAGAATATCTGGAAGAAAGATCCAAGGAGCCCGAGACCATTTGCAATTAAAAGCATGGACCTTACTGACTTAATGGATTTTCACAGAAAATATCCTTGAAATTAATCTCATTTCTTCTGTTCTTCAGCCCCCTGTCCATACATGTATAGTAAATATTTATGATTATTGTAGATTTGCAGAAGGAAAAGAAGGGTTTGGATAGGATAAAAAGAATATGAGTTTCCCGGCTGCTTAGCTAAGTGAATCTGAACAACTCGGTATGAAATACAGCTGCTGCCATCTAGTGGGATAAAGGGCTTTTCATTAAAAATGTTTTAAACGTGTTTCTCTAAACCAGGGGCGTCAAACTCTACTTCATTGAAGGCCGCATCAGGGTTTTGTTTGACCTCGGGGGGGGGGGCGGGCTAGAGGAGGGTGGCCAGGGTGGGCATGGCCAGCTCAACGTCACTCATGTCGGGGGCACCTGTGGAGGCCCGAGTGCCTCCGAGCCAGCGCAAACAGGCTCCCGAGCTCCATTTTTGCCTGCGACAGCCTCCTGCAACCCTCTGCCAGTGAAACAGAGCTCCGGAGGGTTGCAGGAGGCCATTGCAGCCAAAAATGGAGCTTGAGAGCCTGTTTTTGCTGATAGAGGCACTGTGGGCTGGTCTTTTGCTTTTTACAGGGCAGCCCTGCGGGTCAGATCTAAGCACCCCGGGGGCCAGATCCGGCCCCCGGACCTTGAGTTTGAAACCCTTGCTCTAAACCCTGGAAAAGGATGGTTTCTGCTCCATAACCATTTCTAGAGCTTCGTAGAATAGGCTGAGCTATGGAAAAGAAGAAAGAACGGCCATTTACCCAATAATATGTAGCAACTATGTCAGAATGAGCCAAACTCAATTTGCTTCAAAGATAAGAACCGCAGTATTGGACACAAGGTGCTCACAAGCGCAACAAAACCTATGGAGCTGGTTATGTTGCTTGTGAAGGAAAAAAGATAATCTGATCCTTCTTTTGTGTAGCCCTTGGTACTCTCTGAGCCTGGTTATCTGCCTGCAGACATTTCATTACATGACTAGGTAATTTCATTAGTGCCAGTGAAATCTGGGGGTTTGCTCCCTGTTTATATAGAGTAGCTTGCCCTGCCAGTATTGGGGGAGGGGGGGTGCAGTTTTTCTCCTTGGTAATTCCTTGATTAGGGTATCGTTTTCTGCTTTGTCTGTCTGCCCGGAGTCTGCCCTTTGTTCAATCCTGAGCTATATATATTATCTTCTCTTGGAGTTCTTCAAGTCTCCAGGCCTGGTTCCTGTTTTATCACAAGCCACCACTGCAGAAAGCAACCTTCCCATTTCCCTTAGCAAAGAAAAGGAACCTTCTGAGAGAAATTTACCTTTGACATTCGACTGAAATCTGCAAATCCTTCACTACTATGGGTACTGAAGCTGCTGCTACCAAAGGCGTCTAATGTCCCAAAAGGATCTGAAAGCAAACATCAACAGTGCAATGATTTGGAGTTTTAATGATCAAAATGCAGAATGAATTCTGGTCAATCTGTGTCCCGGCTGGGGATAGTTAGCCAAATCAGGAGTCTTGCAATGCGAGAGAAACTTGATTACAGGTAAACCTTTCCCTGTAGGCTTTTGACCCCCCATATAAGCACTAGGGCTTATTTTCGGGGGTGTCTTATTTTTTTCCTCATGTACGGGAGGCCCACTTCTTCTGCTTGCATGTGGCGGGGCAGGAGGCTGTGCAGTGCTGCCGCGAGGCATGGAGGTGTGGAGCTGCCCCACACTGGTTTACCTCAGGTAAACCAGTTTACCGCAGCCAGGCCATCCATGTTCCGAAAACTGCCTCGCCTCCTGCTCTGTTGTAGCAACGAGCAAGCAGAAGAAATGGGCTGGCTGCAATGTGGATTCCTGCTGCACATTGTTGCTAGTGCTGCTGCAGTGAGGCAGGTGTTGGGGCATGGATGGCCTGGATGCGGGGGCCCTGAGGTAAGCCGGTACAGGGCACGTGGGGTAGCTCCACCCCCCCTCATGGCCACAACACCGCAAGCAACCAGATGGAATGGGCATGTGGCTGGCTGTGCAGGCTCTTAAGTAGGGCTTATTTTGGGGATAGGTCTTATTTTCAGGGGGTCAGGGGTACCAATGGCTGAAGTTGAATGGAAGTGGGCGGATGTAAATATGGACAATGGGAAATACCAAAGCATAAACTATGAATTCAAACTTGTCAAACAGAAGGAGAAAGGAAGAAGACCTCTATTCTTACCTGGCCCTTTCGAAGAAGACATGCTCAGAGTTAGGAAAGGGTCACTGTTCTCAAAGAGGTTTGGCTGAAACGGAGAGCAGAAGGGGAAAAAAAACATTAGAGGAAGTTGGCTTGCTAGAGATAGGGAAGAGAACCATGTTACAGGAAGTCCTCACTTTACAATGGCAATTAGGATCAGAATTTCCCTCACTAAGCGACACAGTCACAAAAAGCGATATGTGACTGACTGTTCTGCTTACGTGAAGGCAGTTCCAGCAGTTCTAATTGCCTTTATTAAACCAATTCTCTGCTATTGTAAAGCACAAGGTCACGGGATCACTTGAGACAGCTTCCCCATTGATATTTGCTTGTCAGAAACTGGTAGTGAAGGTTATAAATGATGATCATGTGACCACGAGAGCCTACAATGCTGTAATTGGGAGCCTGTTGCCAAGTGACCGAATCACAGTGACCACGGGGACACCTAAAGGGCCCAATGGTAAGTACCCCTCATTTAATGCCATCATAATTTCCATCGCTGATGAGTATCGATAAATGAGGACTACCTGTATCACTTTTTATTTATATTCTATCACATCTCAAGATTCTTGGCAGTTCACAATTATGAAATAAAACAAGCATCCTATTCATTTTTTAAAAAAAATCATATAACCCAAAGAGTATTACAAGTTGCCTCCTGGCTGTCCACAATAACTCAGTTTCACAAGTTCCCAGAAGTTATTTCCATTGGAGTCAATCTTGTCTCTGGGGAAGCCATTCCAGGGGACCATGGCCATCACAGAAAAGCAATGCCTTTGAGTTCTGCCCCCTCATTCCCCAGTATAGGGCATGACCCACAGTTTCTCCTGGGAAAGATGTCTCAGGTAAACTGAATCCAGTGGTGGAGTCAGTCCTGAAGATATCCAGGGACAAGCCATAACAGGTTTTATAAGATAAAACCAGCACATTCAAATGCCCATGGAAACCTAATGGCAACCAGCACCGCATCTGCAGAATTGACATCACATGAGCAAAGCACCAAGTGCCGGACAGGACAAAGTATGAACCATCTCATTCTGAATGAGTTGCAGTTTTCGAGGATCTTCAAAGGCAGTCCATATGAATATACTACAGCAGTCCAGATGTATGCAGGTGTTAATGTAATAAGATACTCCAGGGTAGAGCTGCAACTGGCACAGCAGGTAGAACTGGGCAAAAAAACTTGGCCGCATCCTTTTCTTGACTCTGGAAGACTTCTAAGACAGGTCTGTTTCTCCAGAATGTTTGCACAGAGGAACACTTAAGTGCTGACCATCTATGGAGACACTCCAGAGCTCCAAACCTTAAATACCACCTTTCATTCTGCTGCAATAATGGCTGTCTCAAGAGTTGCTCTGATCACCAAAAATGAGCGCTGGATGGATTTCTGAAATGCTTTCACTCAAGAGGCTTGTTTGACCTTATATGCTGGTTCCAGTCAAAGACCATTTACCCCAAGTTCTCAGATCTTTGTGATTTTATAACACATTGTGGCAATTTTGCTGGATCCGTTGCCATTTTGCTAGTTATTCTTAGAGGACTATTAGTCTGAGGGGTGGAATAATAAATGATCCTAAACGGGTGAAATGCTCCCAGTTTGGACCGGATCACCCGATCCGGTAGCGATGGAGGCAGGCGGTTTGGAGAACCGGTAGCAAAAATCCCTGCCCCGCCCCCCCATGCCCAGCTGAGCCGCATATTCATCAGAGGCTTTTTTTTTTTTAACTTTTAAAAGCATTTTTTCTACAACCTCTTCGGCCAAAAAAATGCTTTTAAAAGTAAAAAAAAAAAGCCTCTGATGATCCCAGCTGAGTTGCCTGATTGGCAGAGGCATTTAAAAGAAAAAAAGCCTCTGCCGATCAGGCAACTCAGCTGGGATCGTCAGAGCCTTTTGAATGCATTTTTTAACAACCTCTTCGCCGAAGAGGTTGTAGAAAAAATGCTTTTAAAAGTAAAAAAAAGAAAGAAAGGCCACACCTACCCAGTCACATTACCCGCCCAAGCAACGCCCACAGAACCGGTAGTAACAAATTTTAGATTTCACCACAGATCCTAAATCATCAAAACAGCTACAGCATCAAATTACTTTCTGGAAAATGGAACCTCTTCCCGATTGGTTATGGAGGCTGGGATGATGACATCTTTATGCTTTGTGGCTACTGATATTATGTTGGCATTATGTTCCTTTGATAAGTTTTTATCTGGTAGAATCACAGGACTGGAATGGACCCCAGAGGTCTTTTAGTCCAACAACGCTGCCTAGTACAGGAATCCTTATATCATCCAGACTAATGGTTGTCCAATCTTTTCTTGAAAAGCTCCAGTGATAGAACATCCACAACTTTAGGAAGCAAGTTGTTCTGCCGTTTAATATCTCTCACAGTCAGGAAATTCCTCCTTATTTAATTCCTAACTCCTTTGTAAAGATAGCAGAGTTAGCTCTGTAAAGCTAACTCCTCTGTAAAGTTTCCAAAAATTGCTTTTTATTTTATCCTCATGTGCTCTGAGAATAAACCCACACTCCCTCCCCTGTGACAGCTCTTCTTGCATCAGTAATCCGGTATCCCAACTCTCCTTAGCCTACCCTTCTTTAGGCTAAATATATCAAGTTCCTTTAACTGCTTTTCACAGAATTTATCTTCCAAGCTTCTCATCATCTTTGTCACTCTTGTCCGTATTCAGTCCCGTTTCAGATTTCAAACACGCACAGTTGCTAAGAGACAGTAAGCAATTTACTCCAGACTAAGAAAACAAGTGGCAGACAAGCAAAGGAGTATAAATCAAACAGTCTCTAGATATTACAAGGCTGGTCCTGAGTAGATTTCACTTTCCGAAGAAGCACACAGAAGGCTACTCAAGATCCAATCCAAAGTCAGGAGAGCCAAACATGATTTGTCAGCTGGTTTGAGAATCAGTTTTTCAGATTTCTCATACAATCAGGAGGCAATGGCATGTCAGACACAGAAGATCTGATAGTTGCTTACAACAAGGAAATGTGGGTCACAGCTGCCTCTTAAATTAAGGCTTCAGCCAGCTGTATTTAATTAAGGCAAGCACTCCCTTGTTGGCAAGAAGCCTCACTGAGCATCTTTGCTCTCTCTCTCTTTCTCTTTCTCTCTCCCCTTGCAGAGTCCTGGTGCTTTGAAGCCACACTGCATCATCTGACAGCTGCAGCTGTACTGATGCTTCTCTGTGTTTGATCAGCTTCAGAAGATTCCTCACTTGATGTCTCCTGAGGCTGACATTTCACCGGTTCAGCTGAAGCAGCTTCTTTACAGTTAGAGTTATCTACGTCATGGGTCATGACATGCTGTTTCCAGTTCCTCGGCATTCTTTTGTATTGTGGTGACCAAAACTGGACACTGAATTTTAGGTGTGATCTGACATGTGCAGCACAGAATGGTACATTCATTTCCCGTGATCTTGATTTTCATATGAATAACTTTTAGCTTTAACTTAATGCTTTCTTATTCTAGAATTTTAGCTATACATTTGTGGGCTATATTAATCTTGCTTTGTTGTTGACCATTCAACTACAGTGGGGCAAAAGTCTAAAGAATAACTTAATTAGAATAAGCCAAGCCTCCTTACTTTAGAGGGCAGTGTGGAATTTTGCAAGAAAGGGTCTGAAGTGAACGGATCACTTTTTTCAGTCTTTTTAAAGAAATCCTCAGGCACAGATGTCCGGAATGGGTCACTTTCTTTAAATGGATCACCTCCAAATGGATCTGATGTAAGACAGTTAAAGGTAGAAGATTAACAGGAAATTAAGACAAATCAAGTACAGGAAGGCTGATTTTAACTGAATGTCAGAAAAGCATTTCTAAGTACAGGAACAGCAAAACCCACTATCCAAAGAAGTAGAGGGGTTCCCTTCACTTAGATGTGTTCAAGGGACCAAGGACTGTCTATCTGGAATACTTTAATTTAAATCTCTGAAGAAGGAATTGGACTACGTTGCCTTTTCCAACTTTATGACTCTACAAATTTAATAGCCATTTTAGTGTTAACTATTTATATATTCAATTTATATGCTTGTCCATCTCACTTGGTGGTGAGACAGGGGGCTTACAATAATCAGAAACTAATAAAAACATTAAAACATTAAAGCAATAGACAGTAACATTAGATGAATTTAAAATGACAGAGATGGGGAGGAAGGGAGCAAGATATGGGAGGGGAGAGTTGGGGTCTTGTCTTAATCCATTAACCTAGGGGTGTCAAACTGGTGGCCCGAGGGCCGGATGTGTCACGCACAGGCCACACCTACCCCAGCTCCATGAAGGGGAAAAACATCGTGAAACGTCACATGACAGCAATGTGATGCCGTGGGTTTGACACCCATGCATTAACCACTTCCAGAATGTGCCCTCAGGCCAACTGGAAGAGCAATGTCAGTTTTGAAGGCCTAAAGGGTAGGTGTGGATTTCGGGGGGGGGGGGGGGGGGCACAATGTTCCAAAGGGCAGGAACCACGGCAGAAAAGGCTTTTCTCCTGGTTAACTGCTACTATTGTAACTATGGGATGCTTTGCTTTGTTAGAATGTATTAAGGCTAGTTTTAATCACCATGCATAAACCTACTAACTATAATTCATATTAGATTATATGGTTTCCCTTACCGGCTTTTGTTACAAATATATTACTGTCTAGACACCTCGCATCCAGAGACAGAAACTCTTAACTTTTAAAGTAATAAATAAATAAATAAATAATATGAACTTTTAAAATGTTTGTCTTACCAGCTGCTGCAGGAGGCTGTTCAGCAAAAGGATCATTCTGAAAAGGATCGCCTTAATGAAGAAGAAAACAGAAATTAAAAGCTATAGAAATCAACACTAAGGTAAAACAGGAAGTAGAAAACAAACTTTGAAGTGTATTTCTTCATCAAGAGAAAAGTTTTTGCTTTGCTTCTGAAATATCCTGATAATGAGATTCACTTGCAGATTCAAGGAAGACTGTAACAATTGGCTGCTGCTGCTGTCTTCTTTGTCTGGGCCACGTTTAAAGTGCCAAACAGCCCCCTGTGCTATGGAAACTTACTGCCTTTGAAGGGATCTGCTCCTTTGAAAGGATCTTCAGTTTGAAAAGGGTCCGTCTGCAACTCCTGGGCATTATTGCTGAAAAGTAGGGCTTTGTTCTTGAATGGATCATCCTGGAATCAAACATAAAGTGATTACGAAGGTCAGATAGCTAGCAGGCAAAGGTGCGAGCCTCAAGGGACCTCTCGATCAAGATGGCCAAGAAAACATCCCTTAATATGATATTCTTTAATAGTTTCAAGGTTAGCTCAGTTTAATCAACTGCTTCTTTATCCCTAATTTTAACTTGTTTAATAGCCCTTGTTCTAGACCAGATGGTGAACCTTTTTTTCCTCGGGTGCCAAAAGCACGTGTGTGCGATAGCACGTGTGTGCTTGCCCACACCCATAATGCAATGCCCCCCCCACGACCCGACCCCCTGTGCATGTACGTGCAATCCCCCCGCGCTGCCCCACCACCTGCGAAGGTGCATGCAACACCCCCCCCCGGTGCCCCGTTTTGGGCCTAGCAGGCTTCCCTGAAGCCTCGGCAGGCCGGAAACAGCCTGTTTCCGGACTTCTGGTAGGCCCGTTTTTCGCCCTCCACAGGCTCCGGAGGCTTTCCTGGAGCCTCCATGAGGGCAAAAATGGTCTTCCCCGGCCCTCCGGAGGCCAGAAACGGCTCATTTCCAGACTTCTGGTAGGCCTGTTTTTTGTCTTCCCAGAGCCTCCGCACGAGCCCTGTACTTACCTGGCATCCAAAACGGGCTGCGTGGAGACTCCTGGGAGGAGAGGGGTGGCATGGGCATGCGTGTGCACCTCCTGCATGCACAACAGAGGCCCGAAAATCAGCTGGCCAGCAGGAGGCGCACGTGCACATGCAGTGGAGCTGATCTAGGGCAATGGCTTGCGTGCCCCCAGAGATGGCTCTGCGTGCCACCTGTGGCATGTGTGCCATAGGTTTGCCATTACAGTTCTAGATAGTATTTTATCTTGTATACTGAAATTGTATTTATTGGACACCAAAACATGAAGTCATGTTTTTGTGGGGCTGAAGTGCTAGGTGACAGCCATTAGATTTTGTTTTTCTAACCATTTTTTGCAGCTTTTAGAATTTAAATTAAAAAATGAACTTCCAAAGATAATGTGGCTGGACCCTTATTAACTATTAGTAGACTCTTATTAAAATCTTCAATAATGGACATAAAAGTCCTTTTTTAACATAATCCAATGGACATCTCCTTGCAGCTCATCTGAAATCCAGCTGCTAGGACTGGACTTCACAATCCTGATATTTGGGCAACATAAAGAGCTGCAATCCAAATGGGTAAGATAGGACAAGCTATCCAACAAAAGAGGGTTTCTTTTTTAAAATCAAGAATTTTATTATCGCAGAGATGGGCAACCCATTATCAGTATCACGCAATCTGTACTTCCTAGAGCCGGGATGGCGAACCTATGGCACGCGTGCCACAGGTGGCACACGGAGCCATATTAGTGGGCACGCCAGCTCAGCTCTGGGTGCATGCGCGCACCGGCCAGCTGATTTTCGGGCCTTCTGGGCCCACCAGAAGTAGGGAAACAGGCTGTTTCCTGCCTCTGGAGGGCCTGGGGGCGGGATGGGGAAGGCCCGTTTTTCTTTCTTACCTGGCTCCAGATCCTCTCTGTGTATCTGGGAAGGGCGAAAACAGCCTTTCCCATTCCCTTGGAGGCCCTACGGAGGCTGAAAGGGCCCATTTCCCGACTCCCAGTGGGAAAGGAATAACGTTTTTTCCTGTCCCCAGCTTCCAGACTCCTAGAGAGGCTCCTACAGACTCCTAGAGAGGCTCCTAGAGACTTTTAGAGAGGTTCTGGAGGCTGGGGACAGCAAAAAACGTCACTTCCTGTCCCACCGAGAGTTGGGAAATGGGCCCTTTCAGCCTCCGTAGGGCCTCCAAGGGAGTGGGAAAGGCTGTTTTCGCCCTTCCCAGATACACAGAGAGGATCTGGAACCAGGTAAGAAAGAAAAACGGGCCTACCAGGCCATCATGTGCCAGAAGCGGGGGAGGAGGGGGTTGCGCACGCATGCGCGTGGGCACGTGACCCTCCCCCGCCCCCCCTCTCCTGGCACGCGATGGCAAAAAGGTTAGCCATCACTGCCCTAGAGCATTTCCATGAAATCTACTACAATCTGTAGCAAATGCAGAATATTTGGCAGCATTATATCTAGTTTCTAAATTAGAATAAAGCGCAAATTATTCATTTCAGTTTCTCCTCATTTCTCTAAGGCCATCCTCATGCTATCAGCTGCATATCATTTAGCCCTCAGAGGATGAATGTTTTTAAAAATAAAAGCACACCCCACCAGCTTCCGAAACATTGCCAGCTCCCGTTGTCGGCTAATCCTCAAGGCATTAGCTGATCTGGACTGATATCAATGAAGCTCAGCCGAGTCAGAACTGGCTAGTAATACTTGGATGGAGATCAGTAGGAAATTTGGGGCTTGTGAGCTGCTCAAAAAATATCTCTAAACAATGGCAAATCGTTTCCATAGGGTTACCAAGAAAACAAGATTGGACTGTCCATGGAATCACCAGGAAACAACTTAAATTCAAAGGAGGTTTCATTACAATCAGTAACTTAGGATGAAAAAGATGTTGAAAAACACCAACTGAGAATGGAGCACGGAGTAGAAATGGGTGGCATCAAAGCCAAACATAGCAAGAGTATGATCTTTTCTGCTATAGTGACGGTTCATTCTCTGAGCTTGTTCTGAAGAACATTGGCACTGACATCATCCCCTAAACTGCACTGAAGATGTTACCTAGCCTGATAACAAAACATTCGGAAACCAACCCACAAACTCAGAGAATGAACCTTTGCCCTCATCCTACACCCAAGCTACAGATATTCGCCACTGTTGTAAATTTTTCAACTACTCTCATTCTTTTCCACGCATTTTTCCCTTCTCTCCAACACGTTCCTCCATACATGGGGCTATGCACACATGCACTCCATCTATTCTACACAATTTCTCACCAAAGTCCCAAACCCGCCCCGGTCTTTTTGGATGTTTCCCTCATTCAGATCTGCCAGGTTAGTCATGCTGCCACTGTGAAGTCCATTTAAAGCTTCATTGTACTGTTCAATGCTCTGGTTGGCTTCCTGAAGGGTCTCTTGAAGCCGAGATAATTTACTCCTTGCCTGTAAGAGGAAGGATTGAGCCAAGGTTAGAAAGAGTCCACTGATTAAAAAGCTTTCATCTTCCCAACTACAGGCCTAAAGTAATAGAACAGAAACTGGAAAGAGCCATTTAGGACACTTGTCCAAACCCACTGGCAGCCCTAAAGATGCTCCAAAATGGCTTCAGGGTTGACAGGACTCTTGGAGTTTTGTTTGCATTGCGTCTGTTACTTGGAACCCTGGCACCCAGGGCAGATTAAAGCATTCTGAACCGATGACCTCTGCTTGAATGTACCAAGTAAAGGGGAATCCACACCCTCCCTGAATAAATAGTTCTACCACTCTGTTTCCCTGTAAATATGACCTACCCTAAAAACAAGCCCTGGTCCAATTTTCACACCTGTGCCTAATATAAGCCCTATCCCCAAAATAAGCCCTAGTTAAGCCCTGCCCACCATCTGGTTATACAAAGTGGGGCAAGGCGCAGGCATAAAAAAATCAAGCTAGGGTGGGGTATGTTTATGTGGAACTGCCCCATGTGCCCCAAACCCTCTTACTTAGGACCGCCGCAGCCAGGCCTCCTACATCCTGACACCTGTTGCGCCGCTGCCCGACTTTTTCTGCAGCTGCTTGCGGCCGTTTGTGGCCATATGGCACATGGCACATTGCACTGGTGCTGCCACTCACATGTGCAACAGCACAACACACCATGCAGCCTCCTGCTGCGAGTGGCGGCGCTGGCACGATGAGTCACGTGGCGTCGGACTGCGAGCGGCAGCAGAAGTCAGACAGCGGTACGACAGGTGTCGGGGCATGGGAGGCATGACTGCAGTGGTCATGCAGGGTAAGTGGGTAAGACATCCCCCCAAAATAAGACCTGGTGCTTATTTTGGGGGCGAAAAGAAAATAAGACTGGGCCTTATTTTCGGGGAAACACGGTACCAAGTTCTATTTACTTTTACATACAGTAGATTTTCTTATCATCTTAAAAGGTAAGAGGTGCAAATTTTAGACACTTTGACCTGTATATCTCAACTCATCACCACTCATTTAATGACCGTGTGAAGTTACAATGTCACTGAAAAAAGTGACTTGTGACCAGTTCTCGTACTTCTAACCATAGCAGAATCCCCATAGTCACGTGATCAAAATTTGGACAAAACCGCATGTATTTATGATGGTTGCAGCACTTAACAAGTATAATGATTAGCTTAACAACTGTTAACAAAAAAAGTTTGAAAACTGGGAGCTTCTCACTGCCTTGTTTAGCAATGGAAATTCTGATCCCAATTGTGGTCATGAATTGAGGACTGCCTCCTCTGAATGCCTTTAAAAATAAGGCTGAAGCATATACTTTTTTTGCACTCTGATCTCATACTACGATTTTTAAAAACTAACATCAGGAAAGGTTTCAGTATTAGTGAAAATATTTAGAACAGTTTTTAGTATAAAACCCGGAGTATATTTTTCTTAATTTCCACTTAAATCTGGTGTTAGGTTGAAAAACAACTGCAATTAAAACCAAAGCAGGGAGATAAGGGACTGTTTCCTTTTCCAAAAAAAACCGCCAAACAAACCAACCTAAAAACCCAAGTGGAAAGAAACTTTGGCTTTCAGAAATGAAAAATCTCTAATGAATGATAGAATTAGGTACATCTCCTCAAAGGAGAGAATAACAATGTCAGCATGGTAAGTTCTAGCATCCTGAACCTACAAAACTGATTTGATTGGCTAAAGTCAGCCTTTGAGCCAAAAATGGGGAAGACAAGAATCTATTATCAGAAATGCTCACACTACCTGGTTAATTTCTTCCTGAGTGGATTTTAAAGATTTGATTATTGTTTCCAGTTGTACTTTCCCAGCCTGGATGCTCTGCTCCAACTGGGTCTCTTCCTGCTGAAGCCGATTCAACTCAGTTTTTGCTCTACTGATGTCATCTTCTTGGGACTTTAGATCTGATTCCTGGGACTGAATCTGCATTTTTAATGATGTGATCTAAAACAAAGATTCAACTCAGATTTGGTAGCAGGAAAGGTTTTTAAAAATTAGTGTGAAGTTGAAAACCACCTGCTACTTCCCATCTCAGCATCTTATACCCAACTCAGACCACCACTACATATGGAGGGTTGGTTTAGTCAGGAGAGATGAGAAAATAGTTGATAAATTTCTATGCCATAAATTTATTCGTGCAGATTTATGTATAAACTTTGGTCGAACTCTTTGAAAACGGTACCCTCATATGACTCAACTTAAGAGTTATATTCAGTAAGTTCTTTGAACTTTTCTCTCATTCTTTGAAGAAATATTTTACATTCTAGGGAATAAAAAGAATTGAAAGTGGATTTCATCCCATTCAGCCAGCATCTTTCACACTCACCACTTGTGACTCCTCCTGGCACTTTTGCCTTACATCATTTAACATATCTTTCAGCTTTGCCTTTTGTTGATCCATCTCATCCAGGCGATCTTGAGCATCCTGCTTTTGAGCCTCCAGTTCTTGCAAGCTGCTGGTTTCCCGATCTAAATCATTTTGCAGCTCCTGGAGAATGTTTGTTAAACACAGCTCTATGAAGATGTAAACATATATCTAACACAAAAGATAGTAAACAAATATATTTATCTAACACGGAAGATACTAAAGACACACCAACAAAATAAACTAGAGCAGTTATCATAGCATTTTGTCATCCTGGTTCCAAAGGTCACAGACTTGAATATTTATCAGGGGCGCGGAAAAAAACAACAGATCAAAGCTAAGAATTATTTCTGCCTCCCGAAAGAATAAAAAGGGCTGAAGGACTTGAAAACTTGTATCAGACACCAATGAGGAAAGATTGGGGAAAATTGTTGAGAAAGTAGTAAGGCTGAAACACTGAAGGGCCCTGGAGGAAACAAATTATGTGGCTCTGTTGCAGTTGAGTTTCAAGATGAGATTAGCATCAGGAAAGCACTGATTGCGTGTGTAAGTGACCTCCCGCAGGCCTGCGATGTGGGCAGAGTATCTCCTTGATCTTTCAGTAGCTTTCAATGCCATTGATCAGGAAATCCCTTTAGACAGGCTGAGGAGGCTGTGAGTGGAGCAGACAGTTCTTTGATAGGTTTTCTCTTTGTTCAGAGGTACAGTAGGTTCCAATCCATGTTGGGGGGCACGGATTTAAGTATCATCAGCATGCTATAAAACTCAATTATGCATTTCTTCCTTAGGATGTCCAAATGATGGTACTGATGTTCTTTCTCGGTGCCTGGAGGCTGTGAAGTCTGGATGGGGAAGAACCATTTTTTGTTCAATCCTGGTAAAACTGAGTGGCTGTAGGCTTAGGGTCTCTTATATGTAGTGATTTTCCATAATTAATTCTGGATGTGGCAACACTCTTTCAGGCAGAGCTGGTGTGCCATCTGGGGGTTCTCCTGGACTTGTGGTTTCTACTCAAGAAGCAAGTGGTGGCTGTGGCAGGAGGACCTTTGTACAGTTACATCTGGTTTGCCAGTTACAGCCATTCCTAGACCAGGAGGCACTGCTCATGCCTCTCATATCTTAGTCACTCCTGATTGGACTATTGTAACATGCTCTACATGGGGCTACCCTTGAAAAACATTCAGAAGCTTCGCCTGGTCCAAAATGCAATGTCATGTTCAGTATTGGGTACACCATGATGCGTCCACACAATAACAATAGCACTTAGAATTATATACCGCTTTACAATGCTTTACAGCTCTCACTAAGTGGTTTAGAGAGTCAGCATATTGCCCCCAACAATTTGGATCCTCATTTTACCACCTTGGAAGGATGGAAGGCTGAGTCAACCTTGAGCCTGGTGAGATTTGATCTGCCAAACTGCAGGCAGACGGCAGTCAGCAGAAGTAGCCTGCAGTACTGCACTCTAACCACTCATATTGCTGCTACCTGAACTGCACTGTATCCCACTGGGCTACTGAGTGCAAGTCAAGTGCTGCCTATTATCTTTAAAATCCTAAATGGCAGGAGAAGCCCGTTACCTGCGGTAGCGCTTACGCTTCACAGTTTCAGCCTATTCCACCAAACCTGACAAAATGGCCCTACTTTAGCTTTGATTAAGGAAAAGTGTGTCACCTGGTAGGCCTCAGAAAATGTGCCTTCTCTGTCATAGTGCTTGTCTTATGGAACAAATCTGTCTAGCTAGTTTGTCTTTGGGAAGATAATTTAATACATAAATGTGTTTAAACAAACAAACAAAAATTCCCTCTTCCACATGTGTTATAAAGCCTAAGGGTCAAAGCCTGTCATTTAACATTTTGGGAGTCATGCTTGAATTGGATCACTGAAAGAACTTTAAAAAAAGAGATTGCATGCCAGGATATCAGGGCTTATTCCTTACCTATTCCTAAAAAATCTTTTCTATGGCCAGTGCTAAAATATTGCAGTCACCTACATGATGGGAGAAAAGACAAGTAAGGCATTTGGGATTATTTAGAGTCCTCCCTTAAATCTAGGGAATGCTACTTGATGTTTGTGTTCTGATAGATATCAGGGTAACTAGTTGGATTCTAGAGTAAGGATTAGTAAACAAATACAATCTTATATTCTTCCTTTTTTTCTGAAAAACACATAAGGGAGAAGAGAGAAAGGAGGGAAAACCCCTTTTAATCCATCCCCAAGCCCTTGGAGAAAAAAACTGTCTTTCTTTGAAGAAAATGATTTTTTTGGGGGGTAGAGGATTTAATTCGTCTTATAACTTTTGAACTGTGGTTCTGATAAGAACAAAGAGACAGACAGACATATGGACGGACAGACAGACAGACACAGCCATTCATAGCATTACCTGAACTTCATTGGTTTTCTGCCGGATAGCTCCTTCTCTTTCTCGGATGTCTTGCTCCAGAGAATATTTCTCTCTACAGTGTAAGCAAAATAAAAATTAAAAAATCATGGCATACCTATCCGATTTTCTTCATCTATCCCAGGGATCCCCAATTACTACAGGTTCGAATCTCTCCAAGGCTCAAGGTTGACTCAGCCTTTCATCCTTTCTAAGGTAGGTAAATTAAGGACCCAGTTGTGGGGGCAATAAGATGACTTTGTATAAATATACAAAAAGTATGAAGGCTATTGCTTAGCGCATTGTAAGCCGCCCTGAGTCTCCGGAGAAGGGCGGCATATAAATCAAATTAAAAAAAAATAAAAAAAAAAATCACAGGCTGCAGCTCAAGGTTGATTCAGCCTTCTGTCTTCCAAGGTTGGAAAAATGAGGATCCAGATTGCTGGGGCAATATGCTGATTCTAAACCGCTTAAGAGAGGGCTGTAAAGCACTGTGAAGCGGTATATAAGTCTAAGTGCTATTGCTATATGAGCTTGTAATGCTGACTGACTGGAAGAAAAAAAAATCACAAATTGAAATATGCATTAAATAACCCAGGTGAAAATCCTTTCATCTAAATCTGAATATTGCAACCATGAAAAAATGATATCATGGATGCTTTAGTTCTAATTAGAAAATCACACTCTCACAAATGTATAATTAACACTGACTTTAGTTACATGTTGCAACTACCGGTAATTTGGGTCCTTGAATCATGACAACAAAGCACCACCTTTCCAAACAAGTTTCAAAGAGGAAGTTGTGATTCTAGTTATATTGCTATTATTTTATTATATTACCATGAGCATTTCTAGCAATGTAAAATGTAAAACTTGTTTTCTATAACACCTAAAGAATCTCAGCTTGCCAAAGCACAAATTCATTCTTAGGAATGGAAAGAATTCTCAGAAAAGGCTATTTTCTATAGCTAAAAATAAGGCATTATAAAATGGGGCAAAACTCACTTACCGTGTTTCCCCGAAAATAAGACCCTGTCTTATATTTTTTTGAACCCTGAAATAAGCGCTTGGCCTTATTGCCATGTGCTCAAAAGCCCAATTGGGCTTATTATCAGGGTATTGAGGTCTACCTGTACTTTGCAGTTGGATGAATGGCAGTTTTATATTGTTTATAGATTTTAGTTGATTTTTAAAACATAGTCAGACTCAGTATTCTATAGAAGAAAAGGTCAACAACGAGGCTATTCTAGAGAGTAAGGAAGAGGCCTTGGAGATATGCAGGCACTATTGTCTAGACAGGAGGGGCTTAATCAAAATATTGGATTTTCTGGATTTTTTTTTTTACTGAACATGGGGAAAAAAAACCATTTGGAAATGGCTCAGGAAGATGCCTCCCTGCTTCACTGGAGTATAAGAAGGGAAAGAAGCTTCAGCACAATCAGACCTGCAAGATTCCAATTATTATAGCCCAACTCAAAAAAAGTAGTTTTAGCTTTTCTGTGGAGTTGATTTCCTGGTCTGATCCACCTTGTGAGGCTGTCAATTACAAAGTATCGCATACAACCATTAATTTACAGGCTATATCACACACACACATTAAAACTGCTACACGATAGATTATATGAAAACAAACTTTGCAACTCATGAGATTGTTTAAGAGACCGCTCTCTCATCCACATATTAGCTTACCTTTGTAGCTGTGCAATCTCTTGGCTGATATCATCCAGTTCTTTCACGCCAGTGAATTCCCCTGATCCAACAGAACTTGAGCTGTCCTGTTAGAAAGTAAATATTCCCATTGAAGCAGCCAAATCCCATGTCACACCCAGATTCACGAGCCTGTTCATTTTGGACATTTAGTACTTTTCATTCAAGCATAGGGCAGGTCTCTTGCATTCCCATTCCCATTCTACAAATACACAACTCCAGCCTCTGGCATGTGGAATGGGATATAGCAACTCTTAAATTACGAAAAAAAAAACCCAGCTGGTGAACCACCTTGCAGAAAACCAAAATTTCAAGCAGCAGAAATAGCAAAAAAAAAAAAAAAAAAAAAAAGGCCTGACAAGACAAGGATGAAACAGTAGAGAAAAGAGGAAAAAAAAAAAAACCCCTTCACACAATGGATGCTGGCAAATGAAAACACGTCTGAATCAAGATCCACTTTTATCCGTTTTGAGCTGCTATTAGGAATCATTCTAAGATGACTCAGGAATAGCAGAACTCCTTCTTTCTCATCAGCCACCACCCGTAACCCCCCACCCTGTCCTCTGCATCATGTAGGGAAGCTCCACAAAACTGCTTAGGTGGGAAAAAAAGGTGTTTTGCATGGACAAAGCAAATGCCACCTGAGGTTTGATGGGGAGGGGCTGCGTTCTTCAGAGTGCCCCGTTTACTCACACGACGCATTTCTGTGAGTGTCGAGATCTCAGTTCCTACAGAGGCCAAGTAGCCTGAGAGAGTCTAGAGGAAAAAAGGACAGAGGGGCAGGAGCTCAGGCAATTCTGGGAGAAGTCAGTGAAACAAGAGGACTTGCAGTCTTCCACAGAACCAGAGACAAGAGGAGGAAACAAGAGAACAGGAGCAGGGACAAGCAAGAGGGTGGATTCACTGCATCTGGGCCACAGTGATTTAGAGACAGTAGATCGCGAGAGCCAGCTTTTCAACTGTTGAAATCTGATGCTGGCCTTCGGACATCATTCTATGCATACTAGGCAACCCATTCTTCTTTCTGTATGTAATATAGGCTTGTGCTATTTCTCTTCCCCTCAGGAGAGCCTCATGAAACTGCCACTGCCTCCTCCTCCTCCTCCTCAGCTGATCTGGAGAACTCCCTGCCACTTTGCTGAGGGCGTGGGAAACAAATAGAGCATCAGACCACAAGGAAAATTGAATCTAAGTCACTCATCCTTACCTCAATGGACCCAGCCATTAAAACATTACAAATATAGGCCTTGGTTCCAAAGCAACCAATGTCTGCCCACTCATCGAGGTTTGCTGCCAGCTGATTGAGCACAGGGTCCAAAGGGAGGTGGAAAAGAGGATGGGAATACACCCCTCCCATCTTCCTTTCCACCACAGTCTACATGTTTCTGGGTAGTATAGTCGGAAGTTATGGAGGTCCTGAAGTGGCCACAACTTTTCTAAATTTTACTCCTACATGTGCCTGGGCATTCTGTAAATTAAGCCATTCATGGCTTAATAATTGCTACCCTATATTTTCCAATTTTTCCCATTTGAAGGTTACAAACGAACAGACCCAAGACCTTTAGCAGTACATAGATTCAAAACAAAAACATCAGCAGCAAACAGGGCTAACTTTCTCGCTCCAAATATGGTCTCATGTTTGTTTGTTTTTTAATTTGATTTATATGCCGCCCTTCTCCAGAGACTGAGGGCGGCTTACAATGCGTTAAGCAATAGCCTTCATACTTTTGTATATTTATACAAAGTCAGCTTATTGCCCCCACAATCTGGGTCCTCATTTTACCTACCTTAGAAAGGATGGAAGGCTGAGTCAACCTTGAGCCTGGTAAGATTCGAACCTGCAGTAATTGCAGGCAGCTGTATTAATAACAGGGTGCTTTAAACCACTGTACTACCAAGGCTCCTTGGTAGTACAGTGGTACTACTACTTTTGGCAGCAGGAAGACAAAACCATTTAATAGTAAATAGTAAATAGTAAACTTTTTCCCTGCAACGTATCAGTTGTCAGAGGAAAAGGCAAGCAAGGTCCTTATGAGAATGTCAGAATAGATGTCTATGCTATGAGTTCACCTGGACAGGAGTGGTCCTTTCGGAAGGAGGGATCATATCTGGGAGCAGCGCCTGTGGTGGGTCAATGCCTTTGCTGACCTTCTGCTGAATGAGGTACATGGCGAGTGCAAACTGATCTTTGTTGAGCTTTCCCATTTGCCTGGTATCAGCCAATGCCCTGCCAGGAAAAAAAACCAGCAGACCGCTCAATAGACAATTGCTGTTTCAAGAGATGCGGAATATCTCAGAAGCTTTCAGCTGATTCCACAGTTTATTCAATCTCAAGTCAGCATCTGTGGCATTAAGAACAATGCCTGTACTTCCCATAAACCAATAAAAAGGACAATTTTACTCAGTACTTTTAATTGGAAAACATCATCTTGTATGATAAAAAGAGAGAAGGGAAGGAAAATGCATACCATATGTGTGCTAAGAGGTTCTGGGAAAGCCCCGAGTGCATGAAAATATCCTTCACTTCCTGGCCGCTCACAAAGCCATCCAGGTCCAAATCTGTCTTCAGAAATATTTCATCATAGCGAATCTTGTCAGTCAATGGCACCACCCAGTTTGCAGACGGCTGAATTGAGAACAGAGCCTCTTAACTGATTTTGCAGATGAAAGTGTCATGTAAGACGTTACAGCCTAAAGCATCTCACTACTAACTTTATCCAAAGTTACTTGGGCAGAAAAACTGTCCCGCCATTGGCCGTATGTCACTACTCCTTCCAGTTTCCCCAGTATTCCTCAGCCTTCACAAATACAAGTTTATCTAAAAATTAAGCTTATAGTTTTAACCTACTTTGGTTTCAATTATTCAGGATAAAGGTCCTGAAAAGAGGCTTCTTCACTGCTCAATCCCAGAAATCATCCATCGTGAGCAGTTTGGCAGCATGGCAAGCTCTCTCCTAAGAAGTTTCTACTAAGTTACACTGATAATGCAGAGTTAAAAAGACCGGCATTTAAAGCCAGAAAGGCTACTTGCAGATGACATCCTTAGAAAGATCTCAAGTGATGGCCAATCTACCAGTCACTTGTGGAAGCACTATGTTCAAAAATGCAATTTGCTTCTCAATGCTTTTGTTGGGAAATTATACGAAAGAAGAGTTTTGCCCACTATTTGGAGTTTTCCAGAAAACCATTTCTGAAGTAGTCATTTCTGAAGTAGGATACTGTAGGATCAAACAGTATGGATGTAGGATCAAATCTGGCACAAGTGTTATATTAAGTACGGAAATATGTACTGAACTTCTAGTCAGTTCTATTGTACTTACATGCCACAATTATAAAGATCTTCTAGACCAGGGGTATCAAACTCGATTTCATTGAGGGCCACACCCTCATAAGGGTTGTGTTTGACCTCGGGGGTGGGTGGGTGGGGGGCATGACCAGGGTGGGCATGGCCAGCTTGACATCACTCATGTCAGGGGGCGTGTGTAGTGGCCTGAGCACTCAGCCAGTGGAAATGGATTCCCGAGCTCTGTTTTCAGCTGGGCCGGCATCCTGCAACCCTCTGCCAGCAAAAATGGAGCTCTGTTTTTGCTAGCAGAGGCACCATGGGCCAGTCCTTCACTATTTCCAGGGCAGCCCCACGGGCCAGATCTTGAGTTTGACACCCCTGTCCGAGACACAATCCTTTCTACACATACACACTCCAATTATTATTATTTTTTAAAAAAAGGGGGGGGAGAGAAGGCTCACCTTTGCACAATATGCTCACATTCTCTGCCAGAGGCTACACCTACCTGTGTTTGCTTCAGGCTGTGTTTGGGGGATAAGCTTCCTGTGCTGTTGAGGCTGTTGACGCTGCCGTGTGACGGAGTGGACCGCAAACTGTCTTTGGGGGGAGGACTGGCTGGAAGAACTGGCACTGCCCCAGGAAAGATTGGCACTTTCTTCCGCTTGGAAGGTGGAACAAGAGATGAGGGCAACACAGAGGGGACGGGTTCCTTCTCAAGGGCACGATAGACCAGGTGCATCGCCTGCAAGGCCCAGAGGGAAAAGACGTCTGCAGAGGGCAACAAGGAGGAGGAGGAGGAAGAGGAGGAGGAGGAGGGGAAGATGGCGGAGAGGTAGTGCCAAGCATGAGAGAGCAGGTCAGGCAAGGGCTGGAGGGAGGGAGGCTGGACTAACAGAGGTGGATAGAACCCTGGGAAAAGGAAAACTAACCAAGGAGTTTGATACTGTGGATTCCTACTGTGATCGGCCTCCTCTATGCAAATGAGGGCTTGGGACATAACCTTGTCCCTGACCCGAAAAGCGAGGCACTCAGGAATCCCCTTCGGTTACATGACAAGAGCCAGCAGAGGGAACTTACCACGGCAAATTCATCTCTGTCAAGGTGCCCATCTTTATCAATATCACTAAGATCCCACACCTATTTGGACACAAAGGCAAAGGAAAAAAGGATGTATCAGAAGAGGAGTTAAAGGAATGTTCTTTTTTTAAAAAAGACATTTCATTATGGTTTGTCGTGGATAATCCCAGATTTTTTATTCAGCTGGTTAATTCTTTTTGTACCACCACCACCCCATATGCAAGTTTAATAATTTACCTGACCATAACCTAATTAACAATTTAAAAACTTCAATAACTGATTAGCAGCAAAACATAAGGCAAGAAGCACGGTAAGTAGATTTTAAAAGCACATGCGAAAGAGTGAGAAAGGCTAATATTTGAGCAATCTGATTTTGAATACAGTTCTTTCAGCGGAGCGTTTCTCAGTTCCCTCGTTCTTTAAGGCAGCAAGATAAATAAACCGGAACCGAACTTTAAGAGCCCATATTGCTTGAAATTCTGGGAAGGATCCAATTTTGATGTACCCTTGTACGCGGTAGTTCAGTGACTAAGACGCTGAGCTTGTCGATTGAAAGGTCGGCAGTTCAGCGGTTCGAATCCCAAGTGCCGCGTAGCAGGGTAAGCTCCCATTACTTGTCCCAGCTTCTGCCAACCTAGCAGTTCGAAAGCACGTAAAAAATGCAAGTAGAAAAATAGGGGCCACCTTTGGTGGGAAGGTAACAGCGCTCCGTGCAACTTTGGCATTTAGTCATGCCGGCCACATGACTACGGAGACATCTTTGGACAGTGCTGGCTCTTCGGCTTTGAAACAGAGATGAGCATTGCCCCCTAGAGTCGGGAACGACTAGCACATATGTAAGAGGGGAAGCTTTACCTTTATTAGTACAAATATTTGCCTCAATTGAAAGCACCAGAAGGCCAAAGTAATGCACTCAGATCATGTGGATGAAAAAAAAAAAGAAGTTTGCTTACCCTTCCCAAGACATCAAGAGGTAGTTTGGAGTTCATCAATACTGGCTTCACTTTATCTCCCGAAAGTAAACCATTGACTGGTAAAAGGCTTTCAAAAATGCCATCAAACTTGGCCCTTTCTTCTACCTAGTTAAGAAGGAACAGACTAAAATTGGTTTATATTGAGGTATAAGCTGTTGTTTTCCAAAGACTGCAAAACATTACGATCTTGAAATTCAGTTTTCTATTGCCATATTAAGTAATGCTTTTGTATGGGCAAATACTAAAGGCTATTAATAAAAACTTATGTTACATAGCTGTCTTTTCTTCCACAATAAATCCTTTGCGGAAGGAGAAAACGTGAAAGAAGCAGGAGGAAAGCACAAGAGAGTTTCAAATGGAAGATAATATTACTTGGACTCTGTAACATCTTACGAAGAAAGCAAGGTGATTGCATAGTTAAAAATCCTCATTTAACAACCCCAACTGGGACCAGCAACTTGGTCATTAAGCAAAGCAGTTGCTAAGTGAAACTGCGACTATAGACCTGCAAAGGTCGTAAATGGAAGAACTGGTTGCAAAGTTGTTGTTTTTTTGTCATTAGTGTAACTGTAAATATTTTCTAAATGAGGCAGTCACTAAATGAGGACTAACTATAAAGAATGTTTTTAAGTTCCCTGAAATTATTGTTAAGGTTTTGTAAATGTTGCATACATTCTTTGCTAAATGTTGCGCATAGGTGGTATTACACAACAAGGAAAATAGTAAATTCAACTTCATGCTGCTTACAGTAATTTACACAAAACTGGTATTAATCATTCATACTAATAAAAAATAGAGTTCAATTGAGGCACAAAGTTAAAAAGCTTAATAAAGAAAAGGGTCTCCTTACTGGACAAGTGAGGCCAACTCATATTTTTCTCTTGGACACTTACTCTGACAGCCCAATGAGCATCTGTGGAAGCAAGCAGCAGGGGGCTTGTATTGTCGTGCTGCAACAACAAATAAAATACATCAAAGCACTTCCTATGGTTTTCTTTGAAATATAGAAATACTTAACTGAGGCAGCCAAGCCTCAAGTCACAAAGTTTATCAGCCACATTTAGGAAACCAAAAACTCTTAATTCTGTATCTGTCAGACATCACTTATATTCCAATCAAAAACAGCCCTTTTCAAGGCAATTATTAACAACTTACAAATTTTGGAGGCGGTAACGTCAAATTTAAGTTGCTGAGAATGACATCGTGACCGCTCTGGGCACAGGCAATTAGCCGCAGCGCAATGAAGAATCCCTGAACAAGACAGAAAAGCATGGAGAATGAGGGGAAAAAGGCCCTCTGTTCACAAGCCTAATGTCTACCTTTATTTTCATGAAAAAGAGCATTCTTCAATAGACTGTCTAGCTCTCTCACCAGACTGCTGGACATTCAGTGACAGCATTGTCTCGAGATTCAGGCAGAACTAGACCTAATTGTGTGTTCCGCTCTTTCAAACAGACATTCGCACTGGAGATGAGGCCCTAGTTTCAACCCAGATTCTTTAGGTTTAGCTATTTCAAAGGAGAAGTTTCAACAGATGGAGGTGGCTTTATCTCAAAATTCACATACCTGTTTATCCAGAAATCCTTTGCCCTCTGGATCTGCTAAATCCCATATCTATGAATATACAAAATTACATGCTGACATCATTCAATTTAAAGCAAAAACCCTTTTAAAATAGAGATGGAAAGTAATCTGCCTCTTCAAATCTGTTCCTCCTAGAGACAGGAAGTGCTGCATCCAATGCTGTATTATTTTCTTCTGCCTTTATTCTTATGTACAGCCACAATCATAATTCACTGAATGAAATTAATGAGACCTACAGCCCATCAAGCACCTGGAAGGTAGCAGGTAGAGAAGAATTTCTCATGCCTTTATCTTTGCTAATGTATTTCAGATTATTTTTAAAGCCTTTATATTTGCTTAGTATCATTCCAGATATATATATATATATATATATATATATATATAGAGAGAGAGAG